ATTATGCTTCCATGGCTGCAATCCAGTTTGCATCATGACAAACGTCATCGAACGGCAAGTTGTCACTGTCGTCAGGTAGCAAATCAGTGTTGGCATTGGCTTCTACAGCAGCAATGTATGCGTCAAGATGTCGAGGTGCTTGATGATTCTGTCCACATTGTCGAGGTGGAGTAGGAAGGAGAGATGCATCACCAGTTGCATGAGGAGATCAATATGGCACAGTTGGAGAGCTCCTACCAAACATGCGATCAAGCAATTTGATGTCCATTGGGTGCAGAGATTCCGTGGATCACATTGGTGGCGAAGCATACTCCAGACCGTGTTGTGGTTGGTATGGGACCGAAGTGCGGTGACGTTCACAAGTCACCACTGGTCGTGTTGTAAAGTCAATGGGATCACCATCTGAATTTTTGGAAAAACTAGCGGTGCCTTGGCCACTTTGCTCATTTTTTTGCGGTGGAGATTCATGAGGATATTGGAACTACAGTGGTGCCTTTGTAGGTAGTGGAACGATTGAAGCTGCAGTGTGACTAGTTGATGCGATAATTGAGTAAGGAAATAAAATTTTTAAGCACTCATCACTGATTGGCAACTCAAGTTGTGAAGATTCAAGGATATGCACATCACGTAAAACAATGATTTTACGAGTTCCAGGCTCATAGCAACGGTAGTCTTTTGCACGATTGTCACAGCTGAGTAAGATACACTCAGTTGACTGCAAATCCAACTTCCCTTGATGAGGTCGATGTTGATGAAAAAAAAATGTACTCCTAAAAACTCAAAGATGAGAGACAGATGGTTTTCTGCCTGAGATCAGCTCCGTAAGTGTGACGTCCGACGTATGCTTGGAGCTTTGAATGTTGAAAATTTCACAAGCAGCATGTATTGCTTCCACCCAAAGATGGTTGGGTAGATTCTTGTCAAGAAGAAGACAACGAGTGATGTCCATCAAAGAGCGGTTGCGTCGTTCGACGACTCCATTTTGCTGAGGAGTGTAAAGGACAGTGAATTGGCGTTTAATGCCATTGTCAAAACAATATGCTTCAAACACTCAAGAAGTAAACTCACCGCCATTGTCCGTTCGTAGCATAAGAACCGGCTACTTGTATTGAGCTTCAGCTTCACAATGAAATTGCTTGAACTTTTCAAAGGCCTCGTCCTTGCGAGACATGAATGATACCCAAGTAAAGCTTGAGTAATCATCAATAAAAGTGATAAAATATCATGCACCTCCTAATGACGGGGTGCAAAACAGGCCACAAAGATCTAAGTGGATAAGTTCTAGTGGTGGAGAAGCGCGATTAGTGGCTTGTTTCAGAATTTGTGTCCTTGCTTTCCTCAAAAACAGTTTGCACATGGTGTGTTGGAAACATGCAAGTTGAGAAGCCCATCAACAGCGTGCGAAGCAATCATTTGACGAAGATCATCATAATTGAAGTGACCGAGTCTCTTGTGTCAAAGCTCAATTATGCTCGGCTTCTCCACTACAAGTATGTTGACTTTCACATTCGTAATGATGTCTTCTTGTAACTTGTATAAGCCTTGGCGATACTCCCAAGGTGCATAAGCTATGAACTCACGAGTGAATCTGTTTCGAATAAAGCAACCTTCACTTAGGAATTCAAGGCTATGATTGCCATCTGCAATGAGTCCAACAGGAAAAAAGATTCTTGCGTATAGTTGATGAATATAAAACTTGCAGCACGGTTTGAACTTTACCATTGGGAAGTTGAACATGAACATTTCCAACAGCAAGAACGTCGTGGTCGTGGCCGTGTCCATCGGCTGATGTAACTCCAGTGCAACGTTGATGCCGTATTGTGGAGAACATGGATCGATAACGGTAATGTGATGAGTCGCACTAGAGTCCAAGTGCCAACGTGAGATGGTGGGTGGTGCGTCTTCAAGCACATTGAGTTCAATAACAAGAGTTTGGCCTATCATCGAAAGAGTTGATGGTGCCTCTTCAAGGAGTTCAAGAGTACGACTTTGGCCAACCAACGAGGAAATTGAATCATTTATCTGAAGGAAGTAGGCTTCGACGTCGGTGTCGTGATATTCTTCACTATGATCAACTGCATGAACTTGACCGCTACCATCGCAAAGACGTCGGAAATTTCTCATCTAGACGATGCTCCATATCGTGGAGTTGATCCACTAGCTCCTTGATCTCGCATTCATGATCAAGATGATCTTCCTCTAAAAAAAAAACATAAATGATGTTTGGTCAGAGTCATAGGATCCGCTAGGTTTGAATCTCAGCTGGTAGGAATTGGACCCGCTAGGTTGCATTTGTTTAGAGCGATCTAAAGCTCAAGATGTGGAGCCAGAGTGAGAATTACGTATTGGAAAACTACATCTACGGATATTATTGCTTGAGCACCCCGTGAAACTAGCTTGATTGTTCGGTCCATGACAAAACATGACTCTACGATTGCGATCTCTATGAACGGCAAGAGCCTCGCTAGTCCGGTCTTCATTGACTAAGCCTATTGTAATTCCCTCATTGAGAAGTATGGATTCCATCTCATCAAAAAATGGTAGGACTATATTTTCCATAACATGCGATGTAAAATGTCATAGTCCTTAGGAAGGTTTTTCAATGTGTAATAAACTACGACCTCGTGAGTCTGTGAGAACCACATTGACTTCTTCTAGGAGGTCAACTACGTTCCTAACCTCTGTAATGTGAACATCCATCGTGAGTGTTTCAGTTTTCCTCAAGACGAAAAACTTATGAACTAGATGAGCCTTACGGGTACCACCCTGAGAGTCGTATCTACGCTTCAGATTTGATCAACACGCATGAGGTACAGTGTACCTCTTTCAGATTTTCATCGCAGAGTTTTTTACGTTGTTGATCAAAATGCCCTTGACTCTAAGAAGAGCTGCCCTTTTATGTAGACTAGTAGGAACGGAGGGTGGTAGGATGCAATAGTCAAAGAGACTAGAACTCGTGAGTGCATGCTGAAGTTTAATGAATCAGACGCCATAGTTGGCTGTTACTTCGAAATGGTATGCCTCAGGAATGTTGGGATCATTTCCCGACTGAGATCCAAATGTATCACTAATTCTAGTGATTCGAGGAGAGTTGCTAATTGGTACTGTTTGCAGCATTGTTTCATCGCCTGTAGTGCCCACTTTACTAGTATCATCACCTAAGACGGAAGTCCTAGACATGATGGGAGGTGAATGAAAAAATAAAATAAAAAACAACTCAAGAGCAATGACCGAAAAAACATGAAATAGGAAAGAGTACAGTCCTCGATCGAACGCAACTAAGTAAGCCTAAAGTGAAAAGGCAAATCTGAAAGTCGTCGCAGTCCGAACTCGGCATGACGGCGTAAGACACCAGGCAGACAAAGGTGTAGGTACCGTCATACCTTCCACATATTTTGCCACAACGAAGTGGGGGACATGTACAGTAAGCTGAACGAAGGAAGCACACTTGGACAATCCGGTAGATGGTGGGCCTTGAGAATGACAAGCTTGTCACCATTACACAGGTCGGTATGTAACTCTGTGTCTCGGAGGCTGGGACACGTAGTTGCAGAGTTTCCAGGGGGCCCTAAACCTTGGTAACACTACAAACTAGTGAGTTCTGTGTTTGTTGAACAAACACAGAACTCATTGTGTCACTATGAAGTAAAACGTTCAGGAAGGTTAATGAGAAATGATATATATTTAGTGATGTGACTAATGTCACTAACCACACTAAGAGCTTCCTTAACCCTAACCCTAAAGAAGCTTTCTAAGTGAAGTCTAACTATAGTAGAGAGGATAATGTTCAACAGATTCATAATAGCTCGATGGTGGGTCTCGTTGGACGAAAGTACGAGCGTTCTCAGCAGAGCTCTGCAATTCAAGTAGCGCAAAAGCCATTTTGTTCATCTGCTAGTGGAGCAATACGGATATATTTACTACTTAACACAAGTGGCATGTCTGGGAAGTAGAACCATTCACACACACCATTACACATTTGTCCTCGAGCTCTCTTTGATAATCCGCACAACGACTCCTTTTGCCACTAGTGGTCATGGTGGTATGGCACAATAATTACTTGCTATTATGCGCCCTTCGTCATCGTTTTGTCGAGCACTCCGCAGTCCAAGACTTTCATATGCTTAGATGTCGTAGCTTAGTCAATTGTTCCAAATCTTGACCTTAGTGCAGGAAATTCAATGTACAAGGGTTTTCCTGTGAAATTCGCTTGGCAAGTACTGGTCTGCCAGTAAGTCCCTTATAGAAACACGAATATATTCAGACTCTAACAATGACCCTGCTTTTAAACTATTACACATAAAGCATGGAACGCATGATCTGATATTGAGTGTAAGTGCTCCAGTTTGTAGTTTGGGGGGGGTGGTTCAAACATTCTGTTACATGGAATTGAGCACGATCGGACATGCATGACGTATATTAAATTATTTCAAGCAGTGTAATCGTCCAATAACCTTCCACGATCAATATAGTTCCCCAATGAGATTCCGGTCCGATTTCTCCATCTAAGAAGGAGCCGAGCCGACGATGTGGCGGAACACTGTTTTGCTGCGTAGTTGATTTCTAAACAGATTCGTGAGAGTTTGGATCTGCAAGATTGGTGCTGAGTAGATGGAGGAAGCAGATACTTTCCATCCTGCTGAGAGAGTAAAAGGACGAATCAAAGAGATCAGCAGTTTATGCTCGAACAGAAGATCGTTTGAGACCCAGACAATGCGATCCACAATGTGGGAATTGAACTTCTTATGAGTCACACACAGCAAAAAGCTTACTGGCTCTTCCCTCACTCTAACTGTTATTTCCTGGGTCACACACAGCAGAGAAGCTTACTGGCTCTTCTCTCACTCTTACTGTTATCTCCTTTCTGATTTTTTTATTTCAGTGGATATACACTCACCTGGTCATAAGATGCCTGTACGGCTGTGCAAGAGTTTACAAGCTCTGGTTCGTGCAACTGCTTACGTTTTGTTTCACATGGCAACAGTGATAAAATTGGAGACGCAATCGTACGAGACAAATCTGCATGATACTGTGGAAAAGGAAATAGTCTGAGACGTTGATGGCTCCTCGGTCCAGCTATGTTGGCTTTTCAGCTTCGAAACTGCCGATGAGTATGCTGCCACGCATGTGGAAGGATGATTCCAGTTGCTGCTATTCTGGTATAACAGATCAATCTTCCAGCTCTCAAAGATGACTCACTACGAAAAATCACCGTCGTGGTTACTGGATTTCATAGACTTCGAGCTCGAGCTCTGTTCGATGAAGTCAGAAAAATAATGACAGAGGAATGTGTCAATCCGTTTCGACGACTCCAAACTCAGCATATGCGGAAGTAAACAGTCGGTAAAATCGGTATTTTGTATTTTGAAGCTAGGTTGACATGAAGTCGAAGAAGCCGTCGATGAGTACTTTGCAGATGAATGTGCTGGCAATTGTGATTCTCGCGTCGTGTTTCCTCTTGTCTGTCCTTCTGAATTATGTCTCGGCTCAAGGTATTGAGCAGCACTATTTGGAGCTGGGTCCTCTGGACGAAGCTGCGGATGTCTCAGAGTGGGATGCTATTTTAGAAGCCTACGCCAAAGACTGGAACAGCGATAAAGCATCAGCCTCCAAGAATGTCATCTGCGACTCAGTCCACTGCGAGGGAGCGGTTTTCTGAGGGTGCCAAATGCTTTTATTCCTGTGCTGAAAGCGTGAATAAACCATGGAAGCAGCCTCTGCATCAGGTGATTGAAGAGCAACTTCAGGTGTATATTTGAGGTGATATATGAGCAGATCTGGTTTCCTTCAACAAGGGGGATATCTGTCAGTTTTAGATTTCACTTCGATATCCCTGCTCATGGTGACAGAAATGCTCATCACAGACGTAGAACTGAACTTCATGAATGACACAAACTGATGATAGCTTGGACTTAAGGAGTGCGGCAGACGATGACATGATTGTATTGCAAAAAATCTGTATGTCAATGAGATTATCCCTAGAATTCAATGCAAGACGTAGTCGAGTCGAGTTGGACTATTTCCATTTTTATAAGGCAGGATGATTTGTCTAGACAAAGCGTTGACACAAATCAGAATGTGACGCTCAGTGTACATGCCGTTTCACAGTTATGTTACTCAAATTAGTACCATTGTGATTATCGCGCCGAAATCTTAAATTTTAGCCCTTTCTTGAGGTAAACCAACTGTAGGACTGAAGCAGATCACTATCCCAATAGTCCTACCCATTTGAATCATCAACTGATTAAAGCACAATGAAATGCAACTCCTCGCTACAAGGTATTCTCTTCCTGACCTCATGAAAACCGCCTGAGTCCAGAAAACTGGAAGTTACAATCGCGTTGGTAATACAGAGAAATGCCCTTGACCATTATTTGCTTCCCGTCACAGGTGTACACGGTTGTTTTTATCTTCATTGATGTAACTTTAACTATCTCCTGGTGAGCTGTAGCTTCCTTAAAGCTGTAGATCTGCTCAAGCTCCGAGTTTCATCTTCTCTGTTTTTTAATTCCAGCACTTGTTGGTGCGCATGCTGCAAGACCGGAAGTTATTGAAGGCTATGGAAGCATCAGGAGGTGATTCTATCAGGGGCATTCCCTTTCGAGATAGGTGAAGAAGCCTGAATACCCTTAAAAATTCACCAACTCTGAAAAAAAAGCATACAGTCAAGCAGTTTACTCCATCCAACTCCATCGAACTGGATTTCTCCAAACTGAGTGTTAGCCTCGGACTTTCCGTTTCGCTTAGAGGAGAGGCGGGTTTTGAACTTTCATTCGATAACTTTTCCACTCTCATAACTCCTAGAGCTCCCTGAGGAAGGCTGAGTACCTTGAATGTCCAGTACCAGATCCAGTAGTTGTTCCAATCTTTCAACTTGGATTGACGACTCTCTCCTGCGGGAATCTCTATGAAAGCAAGTCAATTTCGTATCAGTAGAGTTCGCATATTTTAAGATTGTCAGCTGTGGGCTGTTCTGAGCGTTTCGTTGAGTTCAAAGAGTTTGAATTTAGGCTAGAGTTTAGATACTCTTTCAGTCCACTTTATTGCTTCCAGCATTTCCATAGGATGAACGGGCTGGTATTTGATGTTTCACTCCGGCGCATGCGTCAACCTGTCAAATGCAACTTCTTTCCGTTGAATTTTGCAACACGTTACATTCTCCAAATTGTCAGCTGGTTGTGAGATTTTTAACAGCCTTTTATCCTTCTTGCCTAGTCCAGTAGTATAAAATCTTTTAATCACTCTCCAATTCCAGATATACGTAAGTTTTTTCTTGTCTTCCGACGTGCGAGACCAGCCAAAGTGCTGCAGATGTCAGGAGAATGTTACGTAAGGGCTCCGCTGAGCAAATAGACTATAACTTTAGCAGAGTAATTAAAGAAATCCTTGTGTAAATGGAAATAGTTTGGAAATAGTTTTCAATCAGCAATTGACGCGTCTCGGTTTCACCTCACTATCTGCGTCATTGCCCCAAGCGCAAAGATTACATTGAGCAGCGTCATAAGTTGGCAGCTTATGCTTTCGAGCATAAATTTGAATTCAGCGTTTTATTCTTCGATGAAGTGAAGAGCAGTCGGAACGATTGCATTTGCATTCAACTCTGACTCCTTTTTAACGAAATCATTCTTTGCTGAAGATTTTTGTTCCAATCCTTCAGAAGCATAAAATGTGTGTTCCAGATCCTACTTGCAGTTCTAGTGCGAAAGCAATGACACATTTCTCTAACGAGCGAAAACAGAACATTTCAACTAACCGATCCGGGATTTCAACAGAGTTTCAAACGAGTTACAATCTGGAACTCGCAAGGTCGCAATAGACAAGACATGAATTTCCCTCTTCAGAATCATGGCTACAACCGTCAGTGCTTACTTGGTTTAGATGCTCAGATTGCTCAATAAAAAAGATCTCCACCTTCATGAAGCAACTCCCGAGAGTCACCTCCATATCTCATACATAGCTGTCGCACTTGCCATTGTCCATGTAGTTGTGTACAATGAACTCAAGGCACTGCTTGCAGCTAGGATAGTGGATTCCCCCCGGTACAGGATGCCAACCCGAAAGATATATTCGCGTCGTTGAGTGTATCACTTGCATCGTGCCATCTTCCCACTTTCACGTTAACATCCGTTATAAGCTTAGCATTGAGAGCGATAGAGTTGGAGCCGAAGAATGAAGTTGTTGGACTAGACTTGATCTCACTGCAGGAAGTACTGAAATCAGATAGGTCCGCTTGTTCATCAGAAGTCGCGAGGAGGGAGCCCAGTAAACACAGCAACAAGCTGATCCAATTGGCCATGCTGTCAAAGGGAATGCTTTCGGTGACTATTTGGGAGAGGAAAATGCCTGCAAGTTACATTGAGCCCAGCCCTGTTATTATCTGGATCCTGGCCTGGATTGTTTCGACAGAAAAGTGTGAAGAGTACTAAGCAATAAGTCCGAATAACAGTAACTTTTCACAGTCAAGTGACCAGAACGCTAAAACCTGCTTGCAGCGCTACCTCTCGTACTCACCTCTTCAGCTTCTTGAGTAGTCATGGCACTGATGAAAGTAGGGATTTTTCTATATATAAAAGAACAGCAGTAGCGAGCAATGAGCTGATCTAGCCTCTCAAGTGACACACATTTTACATTTTATTAAAATTAAGCTGTAAAGACTAAGAAAGAACATATTTTTCATATGACAATTATCTCTAAATCATCACTTTCTCGTCTAAGTGAAGACCACTTGCCATTGTTGCAAGATCAGAACATGTGAGGTTTTACACTTGGTCTGAAGTTGTTCGAAATTTTCTTAGCTATCCATATCGACTTCTCAAGGAAATCTGTCCTTCAAACCTGCAGTCGATCGGAAGTGAACGTAATCGAGATGTGCTCTTTTATGCTTACATGTTTAGTTCATGTTTTGTGCTGAACTGTATATTCGAGTAAGAGACTGGACTTCATTTCGCTTTCTTAGTATATGAAATGCTGGATTGAACGGTCAGGAAATCCCTTGGAGGAGACAAAGCCTACAAAGCAAAGGAACGGCACTTGAAATTTGAGATGGATGGGAGTAAGAAGCCAAATATTTGGTAACTGTGCGCTCGGAGATGAAAAGGATACAGAAATGGTTATCTGGAGTTTAAGACGATTGACGCTGCATTATTTCATTCAAGATTGTTGGCGCTCCATTTGCTTAATTCATGACTTTCATGATTTTATCGGAACATATAATTTCAATTACGTTAGTACAACCTTTTCAACAACTTTAATACCTTCGTATTATGACCTTACGACGAAATAAGCAGCTATTGAAAGGCACACCACAAACCCTGAGCCAGTTGCTTTGTACCTAAGGAATTCTATCGTATAATAGGCACTAGACTTGGACTGAACCTGTATGGGAAACAATATCTTCAACTGACTGACGAAACGATCATTTGCAATAAAGTATAAACGTTTCATATAATTTTCCGCAAGAATCAGACTCCAAACCAATGCGGTCCTAACTAACCTCTGCTGTATACGCGGGAACCAGGGAATAGCACCATGTGAAGCAGCTTCGGAAATCGACTCAAATAAATAGCCATCGCTGTTATAAACCAAAAAAATCCAATGAGAATTTAGGCCTAGCGAATGAGCAGCACATAAAAATAATAATGCTTTATGAGTACCTTTTTACTTTGAATCATTAAAAAATTTTGTCGGTTCTGTTGCCCGCTTTCTCTACAGCTACTAGGAGAGCTTCGTAGATTTTACCCCTTCCTGAGTAATATTTTTTCTATTAATAAATTGATTTAATTCATGAGAGATGACTCATGTCTCATTAATTTCATTAATATTATTATCTACTACTAAAACTTTAAAATATATACTCATGTCACATGAATATATTTCTCGAGTCAATAGCAGAGCTGACTTGAAATTAAGCCATGAAGGAGATGGAACATGGGAATGCTGCAACGACTTTGTGGAATGTCTTACGATCGTGTTTGCAAGTCATTGTCAATAAGTGCGGGAATATATTGCATCTACTACGCTACTTAGGAGATGAATCCACATAATGCTACAGAGGTAAATTTCCAAATAGTGTCATCTCTTATTAATGACATTTTTCCAATACTGACATAGAACTCAAGAACCATTAGATTTTACCTTGTAAATCTATCCAATACTAACTATTCTGTCACTATTGGTAATAGTGACATGTAATAACCTATCCAACTGTAATATTAAAAAACAAGATTGACTTTTATTCTTTAATGTTTGTAGTATAGCCTAACTCCCAACCTTCGCTCGCCCGTTAACATGGCGTTGAACCTCATCACACTTACCATGCCTTGATTACCCCTTGTTGTCTCAGACCTTCCTTGCACTTGCTCTCCCGTCATGTCTACGCTCTCCCACACACTATTCTAGGAGAAACGGGAGAAAAAAACGGAAATGGTGGTTCTCTAATCACCATTTATTAAAATATATTTGTCTACACAATCCCACTATACCGACCTGTCCATTTTTATTTGTGTTATGATACTTTCATTGTGTTGTTTCAATCATTTTACATTATTTTGTTTCAATCATTTTGCAGGTGAGAAAAGACACAAATCACTTACAAATTTTCTCAATTTTGTTTGTTCATTTTTTATCATTTATAACTTTAATTTACCTTGGAAATCTCAATATTGTTTGCTCACTTTCCACAAGTTATTTGCGATATGAAGTTATGGTTACTGAAGACAATTCTATATTTAAATTCAAAGACAAGTTGTCAAGAATGATACTATCCGCTAAATATTTAACGAAGCCGCTAAATGCTACCCAAAATAGTATGAGAGACACTTCAAACCTAGCATCAATACGTGTCACTGTTGTGAAATTAAACTGTGTGTATATATATATATATATATGCATTTATGTGCCTTCAGAAGGATCGAGCGGCGCAATCCATACATCTAGACATATGTGCAAGAATCGGGCACCTCAATTGCAGCAGAATTTAAAGACCTTTTTTTCAAATGAAGGTGGAATAAGTTGCCACGTCTGATTTCCCATTGCTTCTGCTAATAATTTTAAATTCAAATATTAACTTAGAAAGCGGTACCTTTAAAATCGAAGATCATTTCATTAAATCGAGAGGCCCAAATAGATGGAGATAACCAGCGTCAAGCAGATGTAGACCTTGTCAAAAGTCCTCATCCGTGTCCAGACTGGAAACACCAAACCGAACCTTCTTGTGAACCCTGGTTCACACGAAGGTTCGGACTTCTGTTTCTTCTCAATACAGTAGTTTGTTTAAAGGCCACGTTGTAAAGCGGGACCTGATATTTGAATGCGTGATACGTGAGATCAAGAGGTAAAGCTTGGCCATGTCTACATTCACCTTTTTCCTGCCCTTGTACTGCCCTGCGGTCTGTTCTCAGACTCAGTTTTGGCAGGTTTGATCACACGATATAAATGTACAATCTTCTGTGACTATCCCAGATTCTGTTGATACGAAACTTAGCTAAAGAGAAAAGCAGGTGCCAGTTCTCGACCTGAGAGAGTTTTTGACCGATGACATTTGGCCTTTGATTTCATGAGCACAGTGCAACTGGAACCTTAATTATGGTCAGGAACATGTTTCAATCACTGAATGTTAAAGGTGTTGGACTTTCAGCTGCGAAAGAGCAAAAGATATAAGCAACTCAGTATAATTAAAAAGGCCTAAGCATATGCTTGGTCATAATGAATAAGAATAAGGATAACACCTTAAATGTACGATGTCATGTACATGATGCTGGGTTTGGAACATCAACCAATATTTGTACGACTCTGACCAGGTCGAGGGTATAAATCATGTTAGTCTAAATCGATATTGTAATCCCGTCATCTCCGGTCAACTAATCTTCTGGTGTCTTGAGCTCGTTAGATTCCAGCATTTAGTATTGAGCTGTAAGAAGTGTTCGATGGCCCTCCGATACGTGGCTCAATTAATCTTGGGAATACCTTTGTCTGCTCCCTCGCGAGAAACCCTAGTCCTTTTTTCGCTCCTCGGCCTGAAATATCTAACAATGTCAACCAGTCCACCTGTATAGGAATCTCACACTCTGTCAATGTTTGTAGCTCCTGCGCATTTAGGTACAACTTCTTCCAGTAGTATGGTCCTTTTCCTGTTGCGTTGTGCGAAATCGAAAGCCTGCCAGACATGGTCACACAATCTCTCAGTTGATCGGAAATTACAAAAGAGCAGACAAACGCAAGGTAGCCGTAGGGTGCATGACACACTATATTCTTTTCAGGACTGCTACTTTCAGTACACAACGTGACCTGTCAGTGAGCTGACTAGTCTGCAACTTGGAAGAAGCGAGACTTCCTACGATTGCAAGGAAGGCATGAGTTCAAAAGTGAGGATGGAACAAAGTACCACGATTTCTCTCAGTTAACGCCTTTCGAGGGCTTCCCACTGAAGATCCAGGAGACAACATGTTCATATCTGCGGATGTCTGATGACGAGAAACGAGCACTGAGGCCCTGCCCGAATGGGCCTGCAAGAGCTGCTGCAGAAATGGACTGTAAGAAATCACGAACTGCGACATACGAAGTACGGGGCGGGGTCTCGAGACCAGGGACGAGTGTGTGTCCTGCCTCAGAGACTAGAGGGACCGACTCGGAATCAGCATACGCCATGGAGAAGAAATAAGTGGCCAAACACAGGACCACGAATCCAATGGCAACCTTCATCCTACCGAAGCCCTGAGACAATCTGTGCGTACTGTCAGGATGACTCTGTGCGGCATGCTTCCTCCGACCTCTCAGGCTCCTTTCTTCTAATCTCTCTCGTTTCAGCTGCGCTTTGATTTCCGCCTTCTTGCTCCTCTCACGGACGGCGGGTGATAGGACTCGCATGTTTGGAAATTCTGAATCAGATCGACCTCTCGCTCGCTCGCTCACTCGCTCTCAATTCCTGTCGAATTGAGCAGACCACGTGGTTCGTCGGTTACAGCCTCAGCTCGACAGGACAGACATACGCTAAAACATGTTCAGCCTCCGATAACCATTGGGAGGACATGCTCTTCGAGCAGGCTCTTTGACCCGGTCCATGTGACCAAAGCGGTCTATGCGCAGCCAGCTATGAGCATGTCCATCACAGCTGAGCACCCTACTGTAGTTTCAATCTGACCCACCTGCTGAAAGCCAAAAGCGTTGTGAGTGCTTACCCTGTCCGGTTTCGCGCAAGAATCGAACTGTTGGCCCACGTCGAGTCAAGCTGCTTCTCGCCCTCCGCCTTCGAGCTCCACCTCTTCGTGGCGATCTAGCTCGGTCTACATGCCCCGAGGATCTCGAGATGGGACATGCTTAGCGTCCAGCCCGGGCCGCGATGAAGTGGGATCGTGTTCCGAAGCCGTCGATTCCATACAGTGGCTGCGATTGTCAAGCGAGCCCGTAGCTTTTTCGCTCAGAAAACTCGCAGTTACCGTTTACCAGTACCGCTGCCTACACCTCTGATTATTCTTTCGCATGAGTCCACTTTCATCTGGTTTAGCACCCGACTTGAATCTTTTTTCTGGAAGGCCTGTCTGAATATGCTTGTTGTATATAGAGAAATAATTTCGCGCTGAATCAGCACGAAATCATCAGGTGGACATCAGCACTGCTCATGTCCACCTTCTAGGATGTAATTATGAAAATTCATTTTCCGAGATTCCGGGTTTGGACGCTCCTCTCCTGAAAAGCCAGGCACACCAATTCGAAGTACCGGTGAAGGTCATTGACAAGTCTCTCGAATATGACACCGAATACAAAAGTTTATTGGACTGTACTAGTACAACAGTTCCTCAAGCTATCCCCACAGAAATTTGTGGGGACAGCTTCTAGAAGAAAGTTCTTCCGATCCAGCCTGGCTTTCATAACCTCAAAAGTCGATATCAGAATCATATATTGCTGCAAAAATTTGAGCCTTTGCGATCCTAAATGAAGAAGAAGAGTCGACGTCGTTTTCCTTCACGGTTCGAGTTGTGGAGTCCACACCTCAATAGAGCTGATGCTTTATAGGCTTCTTACAAGTTTCCAAAGTGAAACACTTCAGAACACTGTGGACTAGATATGTGTTTTTCACCACTGAATCTCTTGAGATATGTTTTGAAGCACCTGATCCCCTTCCCGACTGCGAATATTAACGCCATTCCCATCGCATTTTGCATTCTGCTTACGCTCTAAACTCTATCGATCCATCCTGTCAGCAAACGCACTGAGGTGCCGGTGATCCACGCTCATAGAACCCAGTTGACCCATGATCAATTTCCTCGTCTAGCCTCGCCAGACTGCGGCGTTGCAGCAGATTTTGACCTCTTGTAATTTTGATGAAGAGAGGAGATGCATGGTATAAAAGAAGTGATGCCAAAAACATCACACACGAAACAAAGCCGAGGAAATTCACTGGAGGTCAAGGAAAGTCGTAATCAGTTACTACTGGCACGACGAATGAGGATCCAGAGGCACGCACTGGTTGCGACGGACCAAGCCCGATCTAGACTTTCCAGGGGCGAAGCCACTTGACGAAGAAAGAGTGGATGTTCTGATGGTGTCCTGGGACACGAGCAGAACAGCGTGGTCTGAAAATCCATGAGCAAACTCCCGTTCTGCATTCGGACTGCTCGATAATATTAGCAGCTGAAGAAATCCCCCCCAAACGAAGTATTTCTAAAATCTCTATCGACAAGTACTAAACACATTTCTGATTCTTTGGGCCAGCAGGAGATGTAGTAATTGTACTCGTTGCGAGGTTTCGATCTTCTATCATTACAGCGATGGCCTTGAAAATGGAACTGAAATGATTTCTCCTTTCCGGCACTCTCTGCTTGTACCACACTCGAGACACTGATGGCTCGGCTCTACGAGGGATCGAGAACTTCCGGATTCTGAAACAATATGGAGGTTTTGGAAGGCGAGCGGTTTCGGACTTAAAGTTCCAGTCAATATCCGATGGTAAATCCGATTTTATGTATCTTTCATTTTCATACATCGTACTTGCCGCACTACGTACAGCACAGTCTACTGTGGTCAGATCTACATTGGAAACCACGGGCACGAGACCGACCACGTTGGGGGGCGGGAAATGAAAGCACGATCTCCCTTTCAGCATCAGCCACAGCGCGAGCACGGATCCGGGGACTGAGTCCGCTCTGCCGGCGATGTCGGTCACCGTGCGATCCCTCGATACTCGCCGAGCTCCAGGCTACCGACCGGGTCCACCGGGAAAGTAATAGCTCCTACAGCGTTGGAGCCGCCGGACGGACGAACATGGATGGAGAGCTATTTCTTCTGCGCGGCGGTGCCGTTGGCGCTGCTCGCCCCGTCTTTGTCCGGAACAAAATTGGTCGCCACGATTTCGTTGGCATCGATCTCGAACGCGGTCTGATCGACGGTCGTGGCGCATTCCGACGCAAGGTCGTCCTCGTTCTTTTCGCCCTCGCAGTCGCTGGCGTGGCAGCTGACTCCGCACTCGCCCTCGTCGCGAGGCTTGCGTATGCAGCAGTGCGTGATTCGGCTTCGGTCGATGCCGCGCCACGCGTAGTAGTTGTTCTCCCAGATTTCGCTCCACGCTTTGTACCACGGCTTGCCCATGGGCCACGACATCTCCAGCTTGGCGTGCAGAGCGCTGTTCTCCCTGTACGCCTCGACCAAAGCCTGTGCGCCCTTGCTCCCGAACGTACAGATCAGCCCTTGCACCTCCAGCGTGTCAAGATTCGGCAGATGGTTCCCGGCCAGCGCTTTGGCCACGGCGATCACCTCGTCGTCGCTCCGCAGCAGCAGATGCAGAATGTACAAACTCGCCGCGTTCCCGGACTCGAAGCCCGCCGTCAGGCCCGTCAAGCCCTCGACCCCGAGCACGCTGTCCTTGAGATCGAGGATCGAGAGCGAGGGGAGATGGTTTTTCATGATCGCCCGCCCGATGCTCAGCCCCTCGTCCGCCCTCAAGTTCGTGTCCACGAGCCGAAGCGTCTTGAGGGCCGGGAAGGGGCACGATTCCAGCGCGCTGGTGATGGCCGCTCCGGACTCGAAGCCCCCGAGCATGAGCTCTTCCAGATGCGTCACGTGCCCCGCCGTCAGAGTTCTGGCCACGGCTTCCGCCCCTTTCTTCGAGATCGATGTCGAAGGTTTGGTGTGCACGAGCTGGAGAGTGTTCAGGACGCCGACGTGACCTTCCTCGAAGACGGTCGACAGCGCGCTCACGCCTATGGCCGTGATGGTGTCGCTCAGAATGCACAGATCCAGGGCCTTGAGCGAATCCAATTTGCCCGCCTTGAGCCCCTTGGCGATCGCCTTGGCTCCTTCGTCTCCCACATCCCTCTTCAGCTGCTCGATGCTCGGCAGGATCGAGTCCTCCTCGCAGCCGGGCAGCCTCGCAGTCTCGTCCGTTTCCTGGTCAGGGTCCACGCCCTCCTCCAGCTCCTCCGCCTCTCCCTTGCCCTTGTCGACGTCCTCGACCTTCGCTTCGACCGCTTGCGGCGCTTGGGGCGCTGCCACCTCTTCCGTCTCGTAGAGAGACCCGTATTCTCCTGCGAGCCATGTCCAGGATCTCCAAGCTTGCGTCAACCTGAGGACCTCTAAATTTTGGAAGTCTCCCCTCTCTGCAGCTCTCCCGAGAGCGCAGATAATCTCGTTGCCGAATCCGTTGTCGTCGATCACGAGGTTCGTCAGCTTCGACAAGTGACCGAGGTCGATGGCTTTGACGAGGAGATCGATTTCCTCTGCTCCCATGCACAAGTCCAAGAGAGTGAGAGACGACAGGTTGGGAATGTGCCCGGCCGTCAGGCTGTACAATACGCTGCGGCATTGCTTCTCCTCGCGGAGCATCAGCTTCTCCAGCTTTGGAAATGGCCGTCGCGAGAGAACCCGTCCTATGATTTCGCAAATCTCTTCCTCGTGGTATTCTATGTCTAGTTCCGATGAGTCGTCGATCAACTGCTCGAGCTCGTCCAGATTCAGATCCTCGATGGTTGAGGGAATCTCATCCGGATTGTACAGAGGCTCGGGCTTCAGCCTGAGCATCAAAAACAGCAGCACTCTTGCCAGTGGAGGCCATTTCTGCAGGTCGTATCCTGCATCTGGCTGCGTCACGATGAAGTAATGACTGCTCAGGAGAGACAGCTTGCCGTCCCAAACAGAACTCGGTATAACTTCGAACTGGAAATCATCGCAAGTGTCGCTCTGCTCGTCGGAAACATCTCTCGCCTCCGATTCCATGGCCCCTGCCGAATTCAAAGACCTCTACCGCCGGATTCTGGCTTGCTGGTCTGACCAGATTGGTCGAGCAGTCCTAAGGCGCCCGAGGTGCTAATTCAAGAGCTAGGATGACCTGTGTAGTAAGTACTGCAATACACAATCAAAACGTCAGAAATCGTGTTGCCACAATGATTCGACCTCCGGAACTAAAACTGGAATCAATTCTCGGAAGAGACTCTGATGGAGACAAAATCCGACATTCTTCCAAGCGGAGCGAGCCCAGGATTATCGATTGCATGTCGATGCTCTCCAAGGATATCGATGGTGGATATGTATACTAATTTTGAGCTTCATATCGATGTAGATAGAGAACAAATCTAAGGATCACACGCCTAGACAACCTATAATCTCACCTCAGGTCCAAAATTGAGGCTGGATCCATACAGATAGCCGCTTGTTCACAGGTGTACCGCTGACATGGGTCTGGATCTCCGCATCATGAAATTAAAACCAGACCGAGCCAGCGGAATGGTGCCTTCTCGAAACACAAATTGTGCACAGCACCAGTCCAGATCTGGACCTCTCGAGCTTGCTATCTATTTAAGTAAAACCTCGCATTCTCTGGCAAAACTCACATCGAAGGCAAGTATTAACCCGATGTGGTGATTACGATGCCAGTACTAAGTCAGTCCAGCCAAAATCGAAAAAAATCTCCAGTCACACCAGTATTGCGAAGTTGGTGGCACAAGTGAAGGCCCAGGCATATCCACGATGTGGGCTGGCACATGATTGTCAGATTCTCTTAGGAGTCACGAGTATATGGTTAATGTCTACCTTATAAAATCCAATGACGAGAGCTAAGGCCCTTCTGCGCACTGACGCTTGTATGGCTCGCTACTGGAGCGAAGCTTGATGACTGTGATGCCCATTGAACTGTGAAACATCCTTAGTAGTACTGTAGAGTTCAGTGGCAAAGATCACTGGTCCGTACTCAAGCTCGACTGCTGAATTATACCTTCTACTGGACCTTGTCAGGCAGCTCACCGTGATAAGCTCAACATGAGGATGAGATAAGAATTGCAAATTCTATAAAACCATCAAATGGAGAGGTTTAGGAAAAAACGTTCTTCGCTGTCCACCGCATTGCTCTGTTCATGCTGCAGTGACATGACGAGGGGACAGATTTCCAAGGTAGCAGAAAATTGTGACAGGCTAGGCTTTCGAGTCAGGTGAGGCCGAGGACGGGGAACAGCAACCAGAACCTTGGGACAGTGACCTCTGCCAGCATGACCAAAACAGAAATGGCGAGCGCACATGCCATATGCTTCTCCTCCTACACTTAGTGTACATGTTTTGCGGAGGGCCTGGTGGGACCTTGAGAAGATACCGAGACTCTCCGTAAGATACATGCAAACCATTGTGGTATCCTTATTATCTTCACCATGACGTTGCAACGAGTGTTTTCTGGACAATTTAGGAGGTGATTTTTAGCATATAACTGAATTGATTAGACAATGCACGCTTTTAATGACGTGGTTCTAAAAATATCAAAATTTTCTTCCCGATCGGACGTAATCTGTACATCCGGGACCAGATATAAGTTATTTCTTGAAAATACCGGTTTCTTGTTGTTTACGTGCCTTTGTACGAACAAATGAGAGAATGTTGGGCCTCGCCGGGAGAATGTGACGTCGAAATGCGCTTTCTCAGAGCGTGATGCTCAATATTCGGCTAGATTGCCCAACTGTGTCAGACCTGTAAGTACCGGCTCGAGAGAAGAACCAAACCTGTCAGTACCAATCATTACCTCGCCTCAGTCTATGTTGCTTCGTAGGTTGACAAGATGACTTCTAACGATCAATTGTCAAACAAACCGTATGTTGGCGTGTACTAAGATGGAACGCTTCAATCGTACATGTGAAGAGTTCCAAGCCCGGTCAACATACTAATAATTCCAAAACTGCGCTCTGCAACATCTAATGACGATCATCGTCATCAAAGTCTACTCTGTTGAGAGGAATAAACCTTCAAAGTATTTAGACCTGTCAAAAGTTGCAGGTGGGCTTGTTGCAAACTTTTTGGACAAACACTAAAACTAGTTTATGTCCTGATGGTATAGTGTTAGATTCCAGAGTCAATACTGTCAGACTTTGTTGCTTATGTCTATGAAGGTGTTTTAGATCCTTAGAATTCTATAGGGAAATCATATGCGTTTCTGGCATTGTTAAAATGGCATGGTTCTTTGAAAGAGATGATTCAGTACATTTTATATGTAAAATAATTTATGTAAATATCATCATATGTGTATGTATTGATCTCAGTCCATATATACATCTAAATTGAGAAGAGATATCAAACTGCATATTAACTATGGACTAGAATCTTCCCGACAAGTTTACATTGCTGAACCGAATGATTCGATGATTCTCCAGCATTTCTTTGTCAAACGAAGATTTGCTGCAAGCACATTGCAGCAAATCTTCGTGCTTGAAGACCAACTGGTTTCTAACGAAGAATTGAAATGTATTTGCAACAGATTGAAACCATATGTAGATTGACTGTTTGCAGTCGAGTTCACTGAAAGCAATTTGCCCGCATGGATCCGAAAAGTACACGGTGGACGCGTCGATGTGGGTATAAAACGATACCATGATTTGGATTAGCGCATTCATTCTAGCTGGATATAATACTGTCCCAGCAACCTTCTAACCTGCAGGCATTTGTCAACCGAGGTGAAGCTTAATATCGGATGAACATGCACAGACGCAGACCTGAACAGTCCTATCAAGCTGCAACTTATCATTTCCGCTCGTTGAAACACCAAAGGCACATGCAAGGCATGATTCACAACCATATCCAGTCATTGACAAGTGAATCTTGCATCAGTATACGCTAACGTCCAGTGTTTTTGTTGCAAATAACTTTCTCCTCTTTCCTCGTCAAAACGAACGTTTGTAAACGAAACTTGTTCAAAAGACTTCCTTCCACGTCGAGAACAACTGAAGTCAAGAAACCGGTGGGAAATTAAGAAGATTAAGAAATTCTTATTACGTGGGACGGGTTCAGGTCACAATTTCATCTTTCTGAGTTTCATGGTTCCTCTAATTTGTTCATGAGAGTAATCCTTTGATGGTCTATGTCCTTAAATTCCCAGCTAGCGTTGGTAAATCAGCAGGCTATCACAACAAGAACAGAGCCTGATACTACAGTTGTTTACACTCTATGCGGCTCAGAGTTTTGGTGTCAACTCTCCTCTGGGATCTGCTAGGCAACGAATGACAGAAGTAGTCGGAATGTGAACAGCCACGGTTTTATGAGAGGGAAGGTGAACTTACTAACTATTGCTGCTTACAGAACCGTTCCCAGTTTGTTGGGCCTGCCCGCCCGCCCTTCATCGTTTGCACGTCCGGTGCTCCCTTCGACCGTCCACGGCTTTTTATTAGTATCAGTCGTCAAAATTTGAAAGGGACAGCTAGTAACGATATATTTTCCATGTACTTCTCAAGAAAGAGGCTGACATGTTTTAGATTTGTGTACAAGGTACTTAAAAAACATACGTATCACGAATAATAACATACGTATCATGGATCTCTGGTTAGTATTCGATGGTCTGATTCGGTATTTGGATCTTCCATAGATCAAGTTTACATTCAACAAACATGGCATAAAGACACCGCTCCCGAGAGCCTGGAATCTGTTAGCAGTGCGACATATCTGCGACATATCTAAAATAGAGGACCATGAATCAGCTTAGATTGGCCTTTATTCCACTGGAACAGTATCAAAAAAATTAGAAATCGCCGGTTGTGTCAACTAGTGATCCGGATTGTACATGCAATGTACAAATGAAGCACATTTCCAGGTCAGTCGATCTAGCTCTCACTTAGATCCATGTGATGGCCAGCAGGCGTTCGAAGACGATCGAGTCCATCGACGCGATTTAGTAGCTGCCTAGCTTATTTCTTCGTCGACGAAGAATAGAGATTGTAATGTACAAATGTTTATGTTCTGTGCAAGCACCTGCATCTCGCTAGATCCAAAGCTCGAGCTACCTTTTAGAGAGCGATCGATTCAAAAATCGAGACATCCGTCTTGCACTATGGTGCGTGTGGAGCTTGCCACGAGCTTGTTCCCGGTTGTGCAAATGCACCGGGGATAGGACTGTGTTGCACTTTTGGACCCGGTGGCGTGAGAGGGGTAGGCCAGGAAGCTGCAGCTGCTGGTGCCGGAGGTGCATGCTGTCCGTGAACTGGGTACCCCTGATGAACGATGTGCGGTACAGGGTAACCTTGCTGCACAACTCCAGGGGCTGGATGCATGTGCGCAGGGTAGGCGAGCTGCACACCGACTGGAACTGCTGGATCTATCCCCGGAGCACCTGAGGAATGAATCACCAACTTCGTTCTGAAGCAGCAGCCATAGACGCAGCAAAATGTTCCCCACAGTATTCCTAGAATTACGAGGTCCGTCACGAGCAATCCCATCCACTGAAGGCCTGAGAACAAAACCAATAACGCGAACATGCAAGCCATGGCACCCAATACTGTGAAGAAGACGTAGTAAGTAAGCCTGCATTGCGCCAAATTGCAGCAGTTCTCATCGTCCTGCCTCCTCACGAACACATCATGACCTGCCTGAGGCCCCATTCCCATGGCCATGGTGAACCGATTTCCCGAGGTCTGCGAGCCTGAACGAGCGGAGCTCGGAGGCGCCTCGAGGTTTCGTCCCACGAAGATCCTCTTTAATATGCAGCAGTCTCAAGTCTCCAGAGAGTAGTAGCCAGCAGAACCAGCAGCTAAACACCCTTCACAAGTCGATTGGAATCACCTCTCGAAATGCTGTCAATCAGCCTATATCGAGTGGTTGAATCCTGTCACGTGATGACGCTTCGAGCAGTCGAGACACAAAGCGATCCTGGGCTCTCCTCAATCACCCCCACTCCAGATCCAAGCTCTACGCTCGCGCAGCAGATTACTCGAACCTCGAGCCACTCGAGCTCTACACTTATACCTGTCCTGCTTCTCCAGGCTTCCGTGGCTCTAGGATCAAGCTGAGCGAGGTTCAGCTCGGGTGTGCAGTCCTACCTCATGGTTACACATGCAACTCCATGGTTTGTGACAGTGGTCTCCATCTATAGATCAACCTCATTGAGATGCAACTATGGAGAAGATATAACAGCAGAATTCTGAACGTGCCGGCTGTTAGTTCGAAGTCGGGGGGTTCATGTGGTAAGTGGTCATGGCCCCGTGTGCGTTAGCTGTCCAGGAGACGACAGTCACGTCACTCTCGGTCCTTGTTTGTCCGTGAAGTTAGCCACGGTCCGTGAAGTCGTCAACTTCGGTCCCGGCGTCGTTGTACCAGCACATAGTACGACGCAGCAGAAACGCGTCGTATTGCAAGCAAACGTGCTGGCAGAAAAGTAGTTCTGTGGCACTGTGAGTGAGAATTTCCTGTACACCGGACTCCATACACTCAGCACATGAGCGGAGATGTGGAACATTGGACTTGTGCTTCTTACCATGCTCAAGCTCAGTGAGTCAGAGATTGGTCATGTGCATGAGATTCTGTTGAGGAAGAGCGTTCAGATTCATCCATGGCAACAACTGCCCACGGGCCGATTCGTTTGCCGACCTGGAGAGTTTCTCGAGGGCTGTTGTGTTCGATCAGAGGATGTGAATCCACTGTTCTCAAAGGTATCGACTGCCGAGCGACCGGACGCTGATATGGTAGAGCAAGGCGACGGCGCAAACGGCGAGTGGTGGAATCAGGTCAACGATGGCAACAGTTCGCTGTCGCTAAAATACCACTACTTTGTGATCGTTGTGATCTTCGCCAGATGCGCATCTTCGACGTACGCTTTACACTGTTGCAACCATCGAACAATGTACCGCATACACAAATGCCATATATTTTTTTCGCATAAGGCTCGCATGTGCAGGTAGAATTCCATTTATTCATCTTCCTTGCATATCCAACCGCACTCTCTATAGTTTAGCTTATAGATTTTATATCACCACTGAAAATGAGAACTGGTAATTGTATTCATCAATTCTGTATCATTAAACTTGATGCAATTTTTGATACTTACGGGCTTGGTTTCAAAATCCGTTGTCTGCATATTAGAAATTCATATTATGCATGTAAGTGTTTTTTACTTCAAGATTAGATTTCAGTCATATGAGTTCACAACTTTTCAAACTTAAAAAAATAATAATCTGTATTCATTCATTCATTTTTAGTGATACTTGGCTTTATCAAGGGTTAATTTTATGTACAACATAGTTATGTTTCTCTGAATTTGATCTTTATATATGATGATACAAATTCAAGGAAAAAGTTTAGTGATGAGTTTTTTGTGCTGGTCTAAACAAACCAGAACATGTACAAGCGTCATGGTAAGAAAAAATATTTATTGAACAAAATAATTTTTTTGAAAAATTATTTCACAGCTATGAAAAGCTCAAATCATGAATATATTTTTCAAGCAGACATCAATTTTAAGATTGAAGATCCTCACATAATGAAATAACAATTACAGTAATTTTACCTTCATTTGATACAAGAATGTCAAAATAAACAAATTATTTTGAAATTGAAACATTAAATATTTCAAACATAACTTTTGATGCATCAAAAATATTAATGCTTGTAAACTGAGAAAATACTATATTTAAAATGTCCTTCAATAATGGAAAAAAATCTCACTTAAAGTAAAAGAAATTATAAACATATCCTATAAAGGCTTTTACAAAAAGTTTGAGAATGTTGCATCCACATGTGTCAAAAAAAAGTTTAATTCAGCTCATAATTGAATCAAAACTTTCAGACTTAGAAGAAACATTGATAATTGTATTATTCTATTTTATCTAAAAGTATACTTTGTAAAAGCATCATGTCATTTTGTCTTGCTTTCCCTTATCTTAGAACATGTACTATTGAGTATACCGTACGATACTTCTTCTTTTTTAAGATGTGAACTTTTGAGATTCAAGAAACATAATAAAATAATTCTGAAACTCCATTCTTATCACGTATTCATGATCATTGTAACTACGTTTGATTAGTGAAGCAGAAAAAGTTCACCATAATTTTTAACAACATGAAGTTACTTGCATATATGTTATATATAAGAATCTCCGTATGAGATGAACTAAATCAGATTCATGGATTATCATTTTCTAGTTTTCTAGTCTCTACAAATGAGATTCTGCTATCCATGTTCAAGCAAGAGTTATGTAAATAACGTTTTTTGAGTTAGCTTCAAGGGTTATTCTATGTTCCATTTCCTTCAATGATGAAGATTGCCTCGCATATACCATTTTTCCTTCCACGAGGGAAATTTAGGAATTAGGTCACACTATTATAGTAGTTTTTCACTCTAATCATTGCTGAGGTTGAATTTTGGATAAGAGACATGAGACACCACAATTTGAGTCAAACTGAAATTTTCTATTAACATTTCGACAATCTCAATGTGTTTAGTTTGAAAGCATTGTTTTCAAATAACACATACTCCTCACCTGCTTTCTTTTGAAAGTTGCAGTCTGTTATGACATGGGTATTTGCAAGTTTCACTTCTGAATAAATTCAACTTGATATTGGGTTTCACTGCAATATACAAAAAAACGGTTCAGAAGATCAAGCATGAGATGAGAAAATGGATACATTCCTCACTAACAAGTATCTTATGTGTGTAATTATCAGAAAATTCAACTACAAAATTTGCTTGAAATTTAACGTGACATGTATGCCTTAAAGTGAGTCATTATTCCAAATCAAACATCTGGAACCAGCAGAAAACTACTACCTTCTAACAATACTTGTATCTTGGCTCTTGTATCTTGAGATGGGGTCAATCGCCGAACTAAGGACCAACTTTTCGACCAGAATCTTGATGGCAATGCAAAGGCTCCATGGACTTGTAAATTAGAATACATGCTTCATAGGATAGTTTAAATTTTCAAGTTGTGCGTAGCATCTCTGGCAGGAAGAGGGAACACGCTTTCCAAGCTGCATGAAAGCTTGCTAGTGATAGCATGGGATTATTTTTTTGGGTGCAGGGACTAGACTTCGAAGCGAGAGGCAGATAGGTGCAGTTTCAACTCCTCCACTGTGAATTTATCTCAGGTATATCTCAGGATAGTCTTCAACTGTTTGCCTTGGACTCCACAACCCTGTTGAGTTCTACCCCCATAAGACCGTGAAGTAGGTTGATCTTGTGGGAACGCATCTTCTCATGGTTTATCAAATGTTGCCTGGTTATTTCTAAGTACTACAGAACTTCTCATATGAATTCTAGACACAATAAAAACTGGGTTGTTGCCGGTAGTTCCACAAGTAGTACAAGTTGACCAAGTGTGCACATGTATCTAGATAATAAAAAGAATCAATATTCTGTTCGCCATGGCAGTCTTGCTTGCAGGGCTACCATGGGAACCACAGTCAATATCGTCAAGGGTGAACGATTCGCAGAACACCCAGTCGCTCCTTCTTATGGTGTTTTAACACCTTCGCGATCTTTAGTTAGCTTGATCCTCAGTTGGATGAGTTGATAGGGACACGTCAATCTTCAGAGAGTTTACAGGGTAAGGGAAAGGCATGCAAATCTTTGTTCCAGAGCACTTTCTATTGTTCTCGGACCTTTGCTGTTGTCCGAATTGACTACACGACCCATCAATCGATTGGTTGTTAGACATAACTTATGTTATATACACAAATCTAAACGAGCACATGTATCTTGTAATTACACTGTCTTCTTTTTCATTAGACTTACCTTGAAGTCTTCCATTCAAACTAGAATTGAACCGTACTGACCGTCTCTTTCTCGGGAACATGAACGCTTTTTGCCATGAAGGAATTCACCACGTTTTCGTCGAAATTAGTTTTGTTAGATGCACTCTTGCTTTTTCCAATAAGTGTGACACTTTGGGTGTTGTTTCCATTATTTCACTCTAGCCTTGATCTCAACCACTCTTACACCTTCGTATACCTGTATCTCACATTATATCTTGGGCTCCTGCATGTTCCGTTCTAAAAGTTGGTGACTTCTCAGTTGAATTTTAGAAAGTAGCATACTGAGTTCATTTCTTTGTACATTGTGATGGTGTTCAGTGTCATCTTTGTCCAGATTATTTTAAATTTCCAAAATCTTTATCACTCCATAAAGTTGTTGATTAGAGTATGCTCGTGATATTAATATACTTATCACCTCAAGATATACAAGTTGTGATATACAACGTGGATGCCAACATCCACGTACTTCTTCACTCATTTTTCACTGGGAGAACTTCACGAAGCTTTTTGCGTTCAAGGGTGACATTTTTGTGTTAGCAGTTTTTCATTCGGGCCTTGAGCTCCATTATCGTGGTGTCGCTTCAAGAATCCATTGCAGCAAACATTGTCAATGAAGTTTATACCAGGCCTCGTAAATTCTGGTAAATGCCAGGTTTGCCAGAATTAAACCCTAGCCATATTCTTATAATTTCCATAGAACTCCGTCATTCTTCACTTTGCAATTCTAGCACTAGATGACAAAATGAACTAAAAGCATATTAAATGGATAATTAGTCGCAAAAATTAAAGATAAATTGGTATATGAAAAGTACAAGCTACTTATATGAATAGGAATCAGTTAAATAATCCCATTTATGGCATGAACATTTTCATTTCACTATTTCTCATGGGATGGCCAGGAGATAAGTCTTCTTTTATTTTCGAATTAATACCCGCCAAGAGATACTCTTCAGGCTGGTGCAGCAGTCTCGATTTGCCCAGACGATCCCAAATGTTTGATCACATTACTTTACTCTACTTCATTTTACTGCGCATTTGCACTCCCATGTGCTGGTACCGTCTCCCGACGTACTACCACATTATTTTTGTTTACTTTACTACATTTTCTTGCGCATTTCCACTCCAGATTTGCCCGAACCGTACTCACTGTCTCTTTCTCGGGAACATGAACGCTTTTTGCCATGAAGGAGTTCACCACGTTTTCGTCGAAATCTCCTCCAATAATTCACTCTTCCCCTTTAAGACCAAATGCTTTGCAACTATGGGCGTCCGCGGAGTTTCTGTGACCCGGTCTTTATAACCTACGTCACTTTGTCCAGATTAATTCTGGCAAAATGGCCATGGCAAAGTTGGAGTCTTAAAATAAAATGCCAGATTTTCACGAGGCCGGTTTATACTCAATCTACAACTTCTATTATCAGACATCCATTCAAGTTTGAGCCTTGTGCTCCCAAACGGCATCAAAAAGAGTTCACTGTTCAGAGCGTGGAATTATGACGACCAACTCCTGCTAGAGAATGTGTCTCCCTAGGTAGAAGTTTGACCGTACGAGACACTGTCTACCTCGATAACCTCGATAACGTGCCACGAGATCCCGATAGAATTCAAACGGATGCCAAAATCATTTGCATCGTCTTTGATCACCTGTTCCAGCAGAACGACGACTGATGAAACCTGTACATTGAATCTCAGCATCGGCACATCCCAGTGACCCTCGATGCTTACTCCATTTGTTCGTTACAATTTGTTGGATTGAGTTTGTCTAGGATGGATTTGATCTCAGTCGTCTTAAATTATATCAGATGAAATCTTCCCAGTTTCATGAAACTGGGAATTGACCTGCAGTGGTCAATTCCGGTGGATAGGGCACATCCTCGGGGTCTATGATCCCGCGTCAGCTAGAGCTCATAATGATCGTTGTCGTAAGGGCCAGATGGTCGACTTGAAGACGAGCGCCGACGACAGAAGATGCTGTGGAGGACGAAATCCACTAAATTCGGGAATTGGTTATTGGAAAACTGAAAATACACTTTTTGTTAGTTGAGCCGAGAGAAAGTTAGCAACCCCCTTGACAAGGACGGGAATTGGCTTCGGCCATTCACACAGCATGAGGTTAAGGCTTCCTGCCCTCCGGGGCGGATCTTAGGCAGCTTCGTACAAAGAACCGTAAACCATATCGTGGATCCATCGACTGCGGATCGCTGCGACAAATGGGCAGAACGGAGATAATCGTCACAAATCCGCACTCACCGATTGTCCAACCAGAATCAGTCCGTCGAAAGCTTCAGTAAGCAAGCAGCCCAGCTTTAAATTTACTCTATTTGAAAACGCTCTGCGAAAGCCTCGTCCCATTCCATTGGCGTCATCATCACTGTCACGGAGCATCTTCCATGACCTCTAAACCCACAAATCTGCTAACATTGACTCCTCCGACGAACGCGCCATGTTCCAGAAATCGGACCCGAAAGGAGTTCCGCACTCAACAATCTCACGACGGCGGTATCGAGAGTCAGCACGTTCGGAGATCACCGTACGGGCGTCAGCATTGGACTGCGGTTCGAGTCCGATCGGATTCCAGAGCGATGCTTTCGAACTGGTTCTCAGCGTTTGGAGGGAGATCGCGGCGTGTTCGACTCGAAGGGTGTCCACAATTCGAAGTGGAAACTACGCTGCCGCCGAGCGGTATGTAGGAATGTGGAGCTTGCACAGAGGAATTTCAATCGCAGAGCTCGAGAAGCGGCAGAAATAGGGTCGAGCACATGACGACTGGGGCCAGATTGCCAACCGAAGTCGCTCAATTTACGTCAATGGCGGCTGATCCGCTGCACCTGCTTGACGCAATCGAGCAGCAGCCTAGGCGCCGTCTGTCGTCTTCCGAGATCGAGACTAGCTGAGCGCCGAGGCCACCAATGCTGTCGAAGAATTTACTCGCTCGGAATTAGACTCTTCGCTAACGGAGGAGATCAGATCAGATCATTCGTTCCGATGATGGCCTCCACAGTGACCACCATTGTTCATCCTGGTCCGTATGTGGATCTCGCCATAATTGGCCGGAGATTCCACCTTGTAACGCATCCGAATTTCCGCCGATACCTTCGCCTCTTATCTCGTTGATTTGGTCAATAGAATATGCTCCGCGAGTGCAGATCCGAAGAGATCTTGTCGCGCAGAACGGCCCACAGTTGGGATCCCCTGAATGTGCATCTCGGATCCAAGAGCGGAGGGTTTTGATCTGCCTATTAAGCTGCGCGTCGTGCAGTGAAGGAAGGAAGGAAGATTAAATGGCAGAAAGCAATCGGTTCGCTGAATGAATGTTCCATCGTCCTCACTTCGACTCTTTCGGTGTCGCGGTGGAAAACTGCAGTGCGGTAAAATCCAAATCTGTGGATGCAGCGCTGACTGCTCTCCGACCGACAGACAGACAGACGTGCAATCCAGATCCGTGCATTCTGCCGATCTCTATTGCGCTGACCGGCCACAGTCTCACGACGAATGGTGCAAGCCCATTCCTCTCAGACGCATCGGAGCTTTCTCTGACCGCTCACGACAGCGAGGTCTTCACTTTTCGCGATCGTCAACGCAGCTCGCTGCCAGAGTCAATTCTCCTCCACGTTGCTCGCATTGAGAGAGCTCAGGTCAAGTCTTCCACCCGGGGCTAGCAGGAGATATGTCCAGAGCAGACATTTCGGTGTTGCTTCTTCTCGCCCTAATATCCACGAGTGCCATCGTGTGCAATTCGCAGCTGAATGAGCTCGAGCTATGGCGAGTCGGCATGATTGTGGGAATTGGATCCGTCGACAACTTGTTCCAGTTCACAGATCAGCCTGTCATCGTTTCTCCTAACAGGCAATTCTACCTGGCCGTGCAAGCGGAGCCCGCAAATAATCCGAACAATCCAGGCAACGAGTTTTTCTGCTGGATTTCCGTCGTGAACCAGACCATTGCTGCCAACAAGACGAATGTATGGCGAGCGCCATGCGATCAGGAGCTGCAACGGAGCAACGACTCGATGCAGCTGTGCTATTTCGGCATCTCCACCGAAGGCAATCTCCTGCTGTCGCATGCATATGTCAACGGGGCCATCGCTTTCAGCAGCGACACCACCGGCCTCGGTGTGGATCATGCGATCTTGAACGACTCCGGCTCCATTCTTCTGCAGACTGCAGCCAATGTGACGGTCTGGACTTCGGCCACGCACCAAGCTCCGTCGAGTTGTATCGGACCCTTACCCCTCGTGAAAAACGTACGAGCTCCCGTTGCCAGTCCCCCCATGCTCGACACCAATGCCACGGCTCTTGCTCTTCCTCCGTCCAGAAGTTCTGCAGGCACGACGTCGACGCGCAGGGAAGTTTACTCTGTGCTTGCCGTAGCCTGCGCTCTGATTCTTGCGTTCCGATCTCTGCATTGAAGTTCATTGCACTGCCCCGGACACGCATTGTGTCCAGATCCTTCGATTGTTAGTTAGATTATCAATTCTTAAGATTTCATTCGAGGTTGGGGCTAAATCGCCCCATATTACTCTTGCCGGAATGTCTGCGTTCCCAAAAGTTAGTCCTATGCGCTAGAGCGGATCATAGAGGGTTTGCTGCAATTGCAGCACATGTTGAAAGTCAGGAGAATACAAAGTCATGCCGAGGCTCCAAGCGTTCCGCCACTCAGGCTTTACTCCACCAAAATCAATTTGATTTACTCTCGGGAACATTGTCTGATAATCACCGTGTCAGTCGATTTCATGTCTGGTTTCCAAACTAGCACGTTTTTGTTGATTCCACAAAAGGTTAACTCGGAGGTGGGTTGATCTCTTTGGGAGCTGCCCTATTCAGTCATGTATGCATATTTCAACACGGTCTTCGTCGGCAACTGAGTAATTGGCCGGACCAAATACAACTGGATATGTCTTTCTTAAGCCGCGCAAATTGACCTTACATGTTGAATTTGTTGTCTTATCTGTTAGACTCTTGAAGATCCAAGTATTAGTCGTGAGTTTAGCGTACTGGGATGCTAGCCAAGGTGACATTATCGGCAGCTTGCTGAGAGGATCGAACAACAGAATGCTCAGAAGATTGACAGTAGAGTGAGAATTTCTCCATCATGATGAAAGGAAACATCTAGATTCAACCATTGACGTCAGGCAGGGCAGGGATCAGTTGTCAAATTGTATTGGAGGAGTACGATTTCCCTGCCCAAAGCGAAGAGTCTGGCCCAAGATCTGGCTTTGCTTGTCACCGAGACTCGTCATTGATGTTTCTTTATGTGGACACTGAATCTGAAACGATGAAGAATATGTAGATGACCTTCGAATTTCCTTACCAAGATCTTCCATACTAAAAAGCGAAATGACACAGAAAAGTCCCTTCAAGAGTCAGGTATGAGTCCGAACGCCGAGGAAGATACATAAGCTCGAAACTCATGACATGACTGCGGGCTTTTCCAGTTCTAATCGTATATAATTTCATAGATTGTAAGAGAAAACGTCATTGGCTCAGATGCACGAGGTTAATCTGTAGCAGTTTATTTCCTGCATGCGAATTTCAGTACTTGGACGACATCGTCGTCTCCATGAACGGCTGCCAAATTCAGCTCTGTCCAGCCTTAATCTCTTGTCTTGTCATGTCATGTCATGTCTTGGAGAAGAGAAACCCTGAACTGCGTTGCAGCATATTTGCCAGTCTGATGTGTCCTCGAACAGCAGCAACGCGTAGGACCGTCAGGCCGGTTTCCTCGTCTAGGATTTCCTTGACCATATCTCTCCACACTTTCAGAAGATAAGGCACAAGCCTTAGCAGGGTAACCTTCCTTTTCTTCTGCCGCCGTATCATTCTCAAAACGAGACTTCAAAGTACTGTACTAGAAGAAGTCGTCAAAGCCGTCCGTCGAGTTGAAACTTGACAACATACAGACAATCTCATGTGCCGGAAGGTACTCCTGCTGGTGTCAAAATTTCCAACATACAGTTCTCATTTTATAAATATCATTGAAAACTTTATAGTTATTAAATTTTTATGAAGGGATAACAAAAAATTTGAAATAGTGTGACTATATTGATAAATTTATGATTTGATGCAATGACAAATTTGTATATGCCTATAAATATTTGAAGAATAATAAACTTCAATAAAAACAAGATTTCTTGATTTTTCATCTAAATCTTCTGTAATCATTTTCATTATTTGAAATCTTCTGTAACTTAACTAAAGAGAAAATTCTTTATCATTATTTTTCTTCTTCGAATTTTAAAAATATCATGACTTTACATTTAGAGTCTCAAATTTTGAAATTTTTTATATCTCTTGTTACAAATCTCATTTATTTTAACATTTATTGTGACAATGTTTATTGTTGGATTTCACTACTATTAAATTCAAAACCAATTTAAAAAAAATTAACAGATTTCACCAATTTAAATTCTATCTAATATCATAGATTTCTGATTCAAGAATTATAATATTTTTTATTTTAAATTAAAATGAAAATCATAATTTAATATGTTCAAAATTATGATTAAATTTTTTATTTGGAATTAATATTTATTTCAAAATTCAACACCAAGTATTCTATTCGTTCCATTTATTAATTCTTGAAAAAGCGATTGAACATGTAAATTCAAGATATTCATATTAAATAGAAATACTCAATGTCAACATTGATACATAAAATAATCATTAAGATCATTGATTATACTTCTCAATAATAATTATTACTCTTGACCAGGTGGCTAATCGTGTTCGTGAGAATCTTGCATTTAGCTGTCTCAGGAACTCTGCAATAATGGCCGACCTGCCGCGTAGATCATCTCTGTTCTTGCGGCTGCGAGCTTTACTCGATCGTTAGTTCATGGTTCACGTCACTTGACTTGTAAGACTGATCCAATAATCATCTCACAAGTCGTGCTCGGCTTCTCGATTCGATCAGTTTGATACAATTCTGCAAGTACTATGACCTCAAATCTCAGTCTTTTACAGGTGTCTTACGATTTTTCAGAATCACGTTGCATAATTGCTTTGTGATTGGATCAGTCTTTCATAGGTGCCATACAATATTTCGTACACCCGTGCCAGTTTCGCTTCCACTGGATCGGGCTTGGAGACACTTCCGCCTGTAACATGATCTCAGCTCTCTTACAGGTGTCGTAAGAAATCTCATACTCGTGCCACATTTTGAGTCGTCGTGATAAATCTCCTTGCAACTTTGCTGAAGATATAGCCATCCTCCTCGAAGTTCGTCATTCATCATTCAAGCCCTTAATTGTCCAATGTAGCTTTACTTGACGTGCTGGTGAGATTGCCTTGGAGTAAAATATAAATTACAGTGCAGACTCCCTCTCCCGAGATTTGACCTGAGTGCGGGATTTGGCCTTTTGAGACTCTTAGGATTCATCAGAATAAGCCATTGAAAAGAAGATCCAGAATGCCGATCAAGAGGGTTACCATTTAAATCTTACTCTATGTTCCTTTAGTGTCGATGATCTTGGCAAGAAGACATCACTCAGGTCAAGTCTTCATCTTTGGGATAAATCGAGCAACTCCCCTTTGCTTTAGCAAGCAACGAGTTATTGCATTCTCCCTTCTTTAAAGTTCCTCCGTATGTTCCAAAGGCTCGGATGCAGATGTCGGTGTTCATGTCGTAAAGTTCCGTTCAATTATTGAATATGTGACGGTTCCGTTTCAGAAAAAAGCATACAAGTCAACCCTGCTCATATATATATATATATATATAGCAGATCATCGAACATTCATATCCAGTCCTCTCCTCTCAAGTGCTGTGCAGAATCAATAGAGTTTCAGCCCCTTTACGTCATTCTCTTACCACTATGGCTAGATCTAGAGCAAGCTCGGGCCTTGATGGTGCAGTTGTGAAGACTGCCATAATCGTCCTTCTGGGACTTTGCAGTCTGCAGAATGTGGTCTCGACTTCTTCTCGCCCCCGGAATCCTTCGTTTGTACTCTACGCGGTTCGGAATGGCAATAACACCGCAAACCCATCCGAAGTGCAAATATATCCTGCCACAGGTTTGAAGAATCCCGTAGTTAGAGTGTCAGACCTTGCGCTGGTTGAGTCGGCGAATATCAATTCGAGAGAAGTCGGCAGAACAAGATTACAGACCGTGACTAATTTCGGTACCCCGATTACCTCAGCGACGCCTCCCAGGCTTTATATTACTGGAGTCGTGGACCTGATTACGTTGAAGGATTCTAAAAATGGTACAATCTCTACGGCGGGGATTCAAACTGCTTTGACTGTGGGTGCCATTGATGAGTTCCCTATCTTGGGTGGCTCTGGAGAGTACCGATTTTCAAGTGGTTACATTAAGTTTACTCTTCTATCACCTGTTGACGCTCGGGGGACCACGTTGTTGGGAAAACTGGAGTTCTACCTTTGCAAGTCTTCATCCTGTCACGATTAGATACACAAATATTCTTTCATCGATGAGTAGGAGAATGCTTATCATAGGTTGCTTACATGACTATCGGGATGAACGGGCGAGGAGGTGGCTGAAGTAAAGGAGAAATGAACCTAGCAACTGCTCTAGTAGAGAGCATTATGATAATCAGATTCTGCAGATATCGTTCTGCTCGCTGTTTCTGTATCTTTCGTCCGGAGTGCTGTAACTCCGAAGTCTGAGCTTCGATCAATGTCGTTCGGACCGCAAAGATGGAGCAAGATTTGTTTGTTATCTGCGAATTCATTTCTTCCTCGTGCCAATATGTTTGGCACAAAGATTAGACGTCGCTACATCTAAATCTATAGTGCCAAAGTAAGATACACAGACTAATAAGACAGTTGCATACTGGTGACATTGACCAGCAATGTCAATTACTTGTAGACAGCCATGATTATTTTTCTACAAATAAAATGTGCTCAAAAGAATTGTATTCTTTCAATGGGTACCTGCAAGATTGTTATAGGCAGTTCTTTAGTTTTTGTATCTTGAAGGGATTGTTTCAGAAATTTATAAATCAACTTGTTTTCTATCATCGGCGTCTCCGATTGGTATGGCAGCTTTCTCAAGTTGCACTATACAGTCTGCAGAACCCTCCATCTAATAGTAGTATGCATTAGAACGGCAAGTGATGTGACTGGTTGCTTCGAGTCATCCGTTCTATTTCGTTGATTCTGAAAGCAGCCGTGCTGTTTGAATTTTCTGAAGCCGTTTCGAAAGATCAGAACCTGATCTTTCGAAACGTGTGTCTTGTCTAGACTGTGAGCCAGAGAAAGCTTCACATTCACATGGAATTCGAACCTGTTTGTTCTTATCGAGAAACTCTTTGTTCTTCTAGATTAGAATTTGGAGGTTATTCTAGAACATTCCTCTTCATGAAGAAACATGCAATCGCTAGATTCTAGACGATGGGACGAAAACATTCTACCAAAGGAGAACGGTGAAAGAGTCAGTGAGTTTCTGATCCTGTCGCCTGCTCTTCTCCTATGAATAATTAATATGAATAGTTGAAGTTTCACGCATTAGGTCCTGAGTATTTCTGCTTTTTATGAAAACTGAAGAATATTAACCTTTATGACCGTAATATGTATGTGAATTTACTGAGATGAGGCTCCAGTTACTCTACGGTCTGTGATTCAATGCAACTGTCTGATTGTAAGAATCTGTATTGGAGATTGGTTCGTGCTTTGACTCACCGGTCTCATCGTCTCACTTCCATGGAACATTGAGTGAACTAGCTGATAGATGAAGGGACAAACTGTAACATGCTAGTCATGCAAGCTGAAGCGGCCAGAATTCGGATATTCTACGCAGAACATAAGCGCTCTGTAAGAACCAATTTTTGACAGAGGCAGGGCATCAAGAAGTGTTAGAGGGGAACTTACAGATACATTCCAAGGATCAGAGCTTGAGCTTAAGAGCATATCGCACTTAGATTCAATATTCTTATATCTTCAGTCTGTGATCGACTTAGTATTTAGTAAAATCTTGAGTATATTTATAATATGTGACTATCTTCAGCCCAAAGACGAGCTAGACCTCAGTCGAGCTTACTGATTTTCTAATATCTTAGACGGAATTATTGGTGCCAGTATCAATTTCAAGAACATCGGGTACGACAGTGTCAACGTTGCATCATCCCTTTTATAAACATGACGGAGAAGGCCTACATAAAACGTAAAACCGACACAATCTGCTTGGGACAACGACCTAGTCCCTCTTCTGTTTCTCTCCATCATGTCTGCATCTATGACTGGGAGATCGACATGATAAATCCTTTACTTGAAAACCCTCACATCAATTTTCTTAAGAGAAAAAATAAAATGCCACATGTCTTATCGTGGGAAAAATCTGTACATCAAATGCGAGTGACAATTGTAACCGATACTATAACCTCAGACAGCCACGAGCCTACCTACCGATTACAACTGAGAAGAACGATAAGAAGAACAGTGATTGGCAAAACAGAGCACAAACGACATCGTTCTTCCAAAGACCTGAATATGATAGTAATAGAGTGTGGGGACCAGACCAAACAACATTGAAGTTGGTTTTTTGGCTCTTCCCTCGAAACCAAGTGCATCCTTTTACCACCTTCATTCCGGCTTGCTGTCTTCATCGAAAGCACATTGAAATTCAAGCCATCGAGCATGCATGACGTGGTAATTGTTTCTGTTGAGCACGTTTGTTTCTTCAAGGTGGCACGATCAGTTGATAAACTGACAGTGCTTACGGACCTCGCCTGATGTGCCAGTCAGCAGCTCGATGTTGCCCATCTTCACCATGGCATCAGCAAACTCCTGGAAGAAGGTGGAACCTGGCGTTGATGATTCAGTCACAACTTGTAGGCCGAGAGGGTTCGTAATGAGCGCAGAATCTGTTGAGAAGACACCTTTACCAGCTAAAACTTCTTTGAAGTAAAGATCATCAAAAACATTTTTGGTTGGATCCATATCAACAATATTCTCTTTGTTGCCCTTTGGACACTGCTGTCTGAGCCCCGCAGCGAATGTTGGGTCAAGCGCCGGGTTTGTGAGATCATCTATCCCACTAAAATTATAAAGCTGAGGCTGAATCCCGTTACAGTGACTCCGGCCAATTGTGTGCGAACCTGTAGATTGGAAGTTGAATTAGGTAAGCTAGAGAACGTGAATACGGGCAGGATTTGGAATCATCAAGCTCCTTAAGGGCACAACTTCCGTGAAGAAACATATTTCGTCAAGCAGGGAGCTCGCAGTTCTTGGATCACATTCAGCATGACTCATTCTCAGACGGGATGGCTTACCAGAAAGAATCACCATCTCTCTAGGGGAGAACCCCTTTGCGGCAAAATTTTGCACAAGCTCGTCGAAGTTAAGGTTTGGGAACGGGAGGTTAGTGTCTGCGTTCCTGGCAAGCGAAACAAATCCATCTCTGCGTCCCAATAGTACAGGCCACCACGGCCCTCCGACCTGCGACGTTAACAAATCATGTAAGTTTCATGCTTGGACTCCAATGGAAATGAGCAGCATCTGTACTGAGCTTGATATCATAATGGAAAGCTGACCTCTGTCTGACCTTATATGTGGCGTCACGTGCTACCAGAGCTAATATGTCAGCGCAGGACACGACCCCTGGGCAAACATCCTCAATGGCCGCCTTGATCTCGTCGATCTCAGGAATTCCTCTGATCATGAAGTTGGTGAATCCATCTCTCTCCGCCACGAAATGAGAAGTTGAGTTGAGGAGAACCGAGCCATCACAGCCCTGTCAGTATACATATTGCAAATGTCAACCCAACTCTCAGTCGACTGGATTCTTCGATCGCGTGCAAGTTGCCACACGGACAACAATGCGATGGGCAAGTATTTGCAACTATATGGAGACTGGAATTCGTCAGAGATAAAGCTCACGTCAGTGTTCTCTCACATTGACCCAGCAGTCATGGAAGTGCAGACGCTGTAGTCCTCCAGCCATGTTTAGATCTGCTGCAAGGATCTTGTCCACCAAGTCGTTGACGATCGAAGCAGCTTGAGGACAAGAATAATTGTAGTATGACTCGAACAAGGCAAACCCTGATACCGGAGGTGGAGTGCTGTTTGTGACAAAATCTCCATACTCATAACAGTCGCAGAACCCTCCGTACATAACCAAGCTCGAGAGAACCAAAAGGATCGAGCATGTTCCTCTTGTCGTTGCCATGGTGCACACACTCCCAAGTTCACCTTCAATTGGCACGTCCGAGACCTCAAACAAATCCTTGAAGTATCCTCCTGTGAGTGAAACGCTGTCACTGAACCTGAACAACGGAAAAACGAATTCATGTGCAGTAAATACTCAAGGAAGAACAATAAAGAGAAGACAACACAGAACACGAAGAACGAAACCAGAACAACGATCTCGATCCAAAAATGGGCAGAACTTTGATTCTGGACAGGACATTTGGAACGTGCTAGATGGGAATGGAGCACGTATCTGTGCAACTCGCTCTTCGAACAGATGATGTGATAATTTCTCGTCATCTTTTAGTGCAGGGTGGTGACAGTGTGTGTGAACTTACAAAGAGAAAGATACTTGAAAGCTTGGCCTGGTAATGCTCGAGCTTTGACAGCTCGAGAATACAAGCGCTGTTCCTCTTGGAGCACCGACCTCTTATACCATCTTCCCATTCTTACGGCCGCAGTAAAAGCTCAGCGAGCAGCATGATGGTCACTCCTAGCTCCATTGGCTTTCAGCATTGTGGACCCCGCTTGAACTCTGTAAATCCAGCTAGATTCAAAATTTCATACAGGCCATTGGCTGATCTAATCTGCAGCGGAAGGAATGGTAAGGAAACGCGTTAAAACCTGCCTCAGTGGACGAGTTTCATCCTTCAAATACACCGAAAGTTGCACTCAGATTTTTCAAGTAATGTTTCTGCATGGTCTAATTGGTCTAAATGTTCAGAAATACGCATCGTCTTTGCTTGTTATAAGCTGTTGCAAACTTAAATTGGCTTGCCTTTTCACTACTCAGCTAATTATTCGACTTTCCTTCGTATCCGGTCATGTAACAGTATCTACCAGTGCAGCTCATACATGATCCAACTGTGTAATATGTATCTTTGGGAATGATCATTTTAAACAGAGATCTGAGCATTATTCCTAGGAGCCAATATTTGAGGTGGGACTTCGTCGGGGAAGTGAGGAGTCTATTGACCTACAGAAGATCTGATTGCTCATAAACCCTGTTATAAAAATCCAGCGCACGGTTCACTCTACGGCACGGTTTTCGCAGCGAGGTGAATGAGAATAGTTTTACAGAAGCAAGTAGAAGCAGACGAGGCTCAGACCGTCTCCATTTGTCGCCTTAAACTGTTTCACTCGTACAGAAAAAAACTCTTGCGATTGCACAGTGCAGCTCATCATGAGCTGGGTGCGGACGAAATGAATATCTCATAAACAAAGACCAAGCACAGCTGCAGAAGCTCGTGAAGGACCGCAGCAATCATCGCAAGAATCTAACTATTACATAAACTATGCTGCTGTCAGTCTTCGGTTTGCGACGACCCATGGCTTCTAGATGAAGCTCTAGCAACAAATACAAATCTCCATATCACTACACTCGTGCATGTTCAAACATATCTGAAACCTCGATTCGAATATCCAGTATAAGGATCCTAGTCAAATTGTCGGTCACATCCGTCCGATCTGGATCAGAGCGAGGATCTCCCCCAAGCCCATACGAAATAGCATGGATTGGATGCTTATTCCTTACTGTCAGTCGTTCTTGTATCCTGAAATGTTCAAATTGAGAACATATTCAGAAGTAGAAGAGTGACTGCAGTATCCACACATTGATCTTAGTTTTGGTCTTACCGTGTTAGAATTCGGAGATAATTTGCAAAGAAACGGGAGCTACCATCAAAACCTACTTTGCCTTCCTCCGCGTTCATTCTCAAGGTCCACTGATGTTAGACTTGGGCCAATTGATTGGCAGCAAACGTCATCCAGAGATGAATTGGCAAACATAACTAGAGCTGCTGCATGCCTTACTTTATCAGCTGTCGATAACACCTTAAGTCGGCGAACACAGACGTGACGACGAACAGAATACATGCAATTCCTGGTTATGTTCTTTAGCAGTGGAAGATGAGCTTAATGTTAAGTGTGTAATCTCAAGGGTAGAAATTATCCTCTGGAATCTATATAGTTTTCTAATAGTGGCAGCAGTTGAGAGACAATATCCTCATGACTTTTTGTCCCATGTATGAGAGCTGCTGAACTTTCCGCTTCACAAAGTTGGAAGTTCCTGCATGCGCTTTTGTACATTTTGGCTGCTTGATTCGATCCAGGGATCTCGACTGTGAACACAGCAGATTAGTCAGCAGTTTCAAGTATAAATACACGAACTGATCTGACCCTCCATGCTGGACATACGTTGTTGTAAGTTAAGAATACGTAATGTTCGAGAACGTGTGGCAATGGGTCCACGGTCAGCCCCACGCAGTCAGCCAAGAGCATGACACTTGCAGAAGTGGATATATGGATCATAAACAGAGCGTGCACACACACAAACAATGCAACTTTACTGCTCTTAACAATCAGGGATTGACCTCAGGGTTGCACAATGAGCACAAGAATTGGATTGTATATTGAGCTTAAGGCCAATGTTCCGCACGAATCGACCGGACAGACCGCTTCAAGTTTCCAATTGACGTTAGATTTCTCGATTCAGTCGTAGCAAAACTCAAAACCTCTGGACTCTTCAATGAATTATATAGTAATGAAATGTATTCCGTTGTCTTTTATGTAAAAAGACTGTTCAGTGCGTGTACGGTATGGGCTACAGTCACTTTAATGTCTAGAGATTTTGGTCTTTCATTTATTGAAGACAGTCATAATAGTTTCAATATAAAATTTCCGAAAATATCTAGAAGAACTACTTCTTTCGAGAGATTTGGATTCCATATATTTTTGTTTCAAATGTTATAAATATTTGGCTCTTCGCATGCTACAATTGGTCGTTAGAAGTTATAAACTCATGATTGAAAAATGTTTCTCGAATTTTAGTCTTCGATTGCATAGTTTTATGGTTGATTATTTTGAACTATAAAAATAATTTTAAATTATTATTATAGTTCAAATAAATAAATTGAATAATAAAATCAAACTACAACATTCGATCACAGAAAATTTATTGAGATAATTTGCTCCTCCAATCAAAATAGAATTGTTCTTTGAACCATTTGACGTGTAGGAAAAGTGATACCAGAAATTTATATTACAGATAATCATCAAATTCGTAAATTGCAATGGGAAGCTTCCAACTCGGAGTTGACAGATTACTCTCAATGTCTCCTACACTAAGACCATCCCGTAACAACAAGTATATTTCTTTATTACAAAATTCTCAAGAGCCAACATATGTGCAGTCCAACAATATAACAAATATAGCCCCAAATTCACATGAGTCGTTACTGAGTCAAAGAGCAGTCGCGCGCGAATCTAGTTTCTTGGAACGTCTCGTATGCGGTAGGAGTCAGGTCTAGTCTGAATCTCAACCGAGAGAAAGCTCGAAAGCGGCCACTTGTGCTCCGATGACATTCAGGATCTGGTGGTTCCAAGCCCGAATCCATACTCCATATCCTCAAGTCCTATTTCATCTGCTTACTCTCTTTGACTCTTAAAATTCTCACAGCATATCTTCTGACGTCATCATGTGGTAACGAGCATGGACGTTTAGACGAATCACATGACTAGGAAAAGTTTCATTCTTTCACGAATAACGTATGTTTATTGTCTTCATAAATATTGAAAGGACACATTTGGAACTAAAATAATGAATGATACACTATAGCGAAACAACTCTCAATTTCGAGAAAATTACTTGATGTTAATTATCCGCATCGCAGACCCCAAATGATTTTACCCGAGGAGACCCACACCCATCTGCCTAACGTCACCCAAGAGTTCAGCAATAAATTTCAGTTGGTCCTAGAAGGAAGCTCGGAATTGGGATTGACCCACGTTGATGGACTCGTCTGGAATTGATTTGTGCATGACTGAGAATATTATGGCGGTCAAATGCAAGACAGCACTATCAGCTGATAGTGCTGTGCCGCTAGCCGATAGGAAGGGTCATAAAAGTGAGGGAAAGGTCTGGAAGGTAAATTCATATTCTTTTTTGCAATGTCTTTATCATGCAATTTGATCATTATGCTACATAGATCATAAAAACTATGAGTTCAACAACAGATTATTATACGATGTGTCGAGAGAAAAGTACAATCCACTACAACCGCTTGTGTAGATTAACCAGGCAACTCCATATCCCAGAATTCTCAAATTTCGTACTCTGGATTCACGCAACATTGCCAGAGCGTACTAGAGAGTTACTACGATAAACTATAATTATTAACTCCCCATATATCAATTCTCCAAACCTAATAGATGTATTGGGATTTTGTTACCATCACGACTAAAACTTGTCTTGTACTTATGAATGCAAACACGAATTTTACTTGGTTGATGTTTGTTTGGCTTATGACTTGACGAAACCATATATTGAACACCTACATATGTTGACAAGCATTTCTCATCGATTCTATATATTACTTGTGATCGCTTTAAAAGTCGATGTTAATGAATGAAAAAAATTTAATTATAAATATATTACAGTGCATAATAATATTTTCAATGTTCTTAGAAAAATCCAATCTTTAAAATTCTACTTTGTGCCTTTCTATATCTTGATTATGCAAATTCGGATTTCCTAGTGATGATTTGATATTTATTTATAAATTCTACTTGAAAATTATATCTAAGTAGGTCTTTCTTCCCAGCTTTTCAGAACCATCGATAATATAGAAAGTTAGTCTAGTGCACTGGTAAATTTTCATCAGAGACATGTAAAGAAGAGATTACAATTTTTATACTTCTTCAAATATTCTATGTGCTCATGAATCCACTTATAGTATATTTCTTACCTTGTATAGTTCACATTTACAGTTTTTCTTTGAAGTAAGTTAAAGATAAATTTACTGACCTATGGAGAAATCTGTTTCTCTGTTGAGTGGTCATATTCGATTTCTGTTTAGACCCTACACAGAAAATAATCTAAGTCAGTTAGACAATACTCAGTTGCTCCTACGAAAGAACAAATAAAACTTCTCATATTGAAACCCGTTATCTTATAAGCCCAGATATCTTGAAGATTCCACGAGGACACTTTGAAAAATCATTGATCTAGCATCAGAACACAATATCAACTGAAATCAGGCTTCTAACCGATTTTATTTTCAGCTTTCGTATAGCTATTGACCAGATTGAAAATGGGTCCATTCAGATAGCAAGACAAAATTATTGTGTAAATACTGAACGCTTCTGAGTCATCAGAGTTCCACCTAAATGTCAGAGTACAGTAGAAGAGTTCCACCAAATAGCTGAGATCCAGAAGCAACGTTGTTTGCTAAGTGATTTACGTAGCAAAGATTTTGGCCACTCATGTACCTAATTACACATTAATATCGTTATTATCTCCTTACTATACGCTTGGTGAAGGAATCCTCCGTAGGGCAGATCTGGGCTTCACGTCTGTCTTCTGAATGTACAAGATACCTGAAACAGAAAGATTTTTAGGTACGCATGAGTCACTCGGCTGCTTGCCTGGTTCTGTACAGCAGCTGAGCTATGTTTTGAACTTTGATCATGTTATACATGAGGCTGATGGAACTCGGAACTGCTGTTGTAGCGAATTTCTTTCTCACTCTTGATCGAGAGAGGAAACGCCGAAGACGTCGCTCGGACGTGATATCGAAGGCAATCTGAGATAGATGGAATGTTTGGACTCTGCAGCACATGACCAGAGTTTCTATATGTTTTAGTGATAGTAGACAAAGTTGGTTCCAGCTCTCTTCCTGAGCAGTAGCTGAATGGAAATATACATGGAAAATATTCCCTCATGCCGATGCTTAAGAGCAAGTTCTTCGAGAATCAGTGAGCTATCCTATTTTGAAGAGAATTGGTGTTTTACTGGTACTAAGCTCACAGCAGGCTTGGCTTGATATTAGGAAAGCTCATGAATGCTTCGTTCAGGCAATACACAGAGTCTAGACAAGACCCGGTGATCCCTCTTTTCCTATAAATTTAGAGTGGAACTCTTAAATATGAGCCAGTAAACTCCTACTGAGGCTATAGCCACCATGGTAACCAAAATTACCTGGTAGCATGGTGGTCTTGAGACATGACAAACACCAGTGGGTTAGGGTTGTTAGTCTAATTAAATTGAACGCGTATGTCAAGCTAAACTTCTGTACGACTATAAATATTTTAACACTAGAAGATATAATATACAACTACCCATGATTATATCGATAGTTGTAGTACTGAGTCTGGACACGGCTTGTGCATGCCAAATGCCATTTTCTGACAATGAGCATCAATCATGAACATTATAGAGCATGTACCTTGTTATTCAGATTTCACAAGGTCAGTGACTTCTCGTATGCTTCCTAGTTTGCTTTAGAAAACTACATCTGCATTCTCGAATCTCTTTGTTCTGATAGCTCAGAGCAACCAATTGTCTTTATAGCTCAACTGATCAAGAAGGAAACCTTTTTTAAATCAAATCTTCAAAAAATCAGTGACTGTCACTTGATTCCTCCTTCATTTTGGAGATGTGAATCTGCAGCCTAGAAGCACATTCTTTTTAATAGCTCAGAACAACCATCGATTTTTCAACATCAGCTGACCCCTTTTAATTGATTCACCAAGCTGAATCCAAACCCTGTCTGCGTTTATGGATCTTGACTAATCAGCACTATGAGCATGAAAGAGAACTGAAATTTTCACGAAACACTTACATACTTTAATTATTGTACTGAGAAGTGACGAATCAGGCAATATCTGCCTACTCAGGCTACAAGCTTCATTCTTTTTCTCTGCACTTGCTTCTTCTTCGCATCTTCTTCCAGTAGCTGCTTTAGCTGAATGTCAATTTCTTTCTGTTTTGAATTCCACAAAAAGTCAGTTAAATTCGGGAAGTTGCGCTCCTCAGTCAAAGGTGCAAAGTTTAATACGAACAGATTCCAGAGTCTAAGACCTCAACTCCAGAGTTCATCTCACCTTTAGTACTTTCCCATCTGCCCATGGATGTGCCACCCACACGTGATTCAGAAGAACTCCGACTTATTGACAAACATGAACGACAGTCACAATTTCAGCTTGTCTGCAGCATCTCAAAACCAAAACAGCTATTGATTTGGGAATGCAAGAGAATATCCTAGTCATTTGAATCATTGCAACTCGTTTTTGGAAAGATTTTATTCACCATTTACTTGTTTCCGTTGCTCTAGTATCAGAGTTTTGCATTTATCAAACACCATCTTCACAGCAGCAGTAACTTGGTCTCTAGACACCTCAACACCTGCAAGTGAAGAAAATTTGGACATTAGAGTGTCATTTAAATAGAAGCAAGGACTGGCTCTTCAGCAATGTACCACACCGAGGTTGATGATCTCACCTATACCACAACTCTCCTCAAATTTTTCTCTATCATAGAACTCTGGACCGACCAGAGCAAAAAATCCGAAGGCAGCTTCAACTTGAGGGACGCTTGTGACCTGCAGCTTGGACAAGGTTGGAAGTATAAGCGTTGCGTTATAAGCAATTACAGGTAACATAAAAAACATGGAGAAAAGAAAAAGCTCAAGTGCCCGACCTTTCCTGTCGCAATGTACTGCAGCAGCGTGGGACGATGACACAATGCATTTTTGGGATACTTTCTAGCGACCTGCCGAACCCATGATATATGAGTGATCAGATAAGATATTGTGAAAGCAACAAGAACCCGGAGACTGTTAGTTTTTCATACTCTTTCAGCGGTAATCACCAAAATATATCCAATGAATGCCAGAAAAGGCTGGACCTCCCAGACCTCCCACGTTACCAAGTGTAGGAGAAGGCCTGTCGAAATCTTACAGCCTTCATGTAGCTCGGCCTGCGTATAGACCCACCAGAATGTCAGCGCTAGGGCTCGTCTAGAGCGACGGGCATTGTGGCACCTTCGCAATCTGAGTAAAAGAGTTCAACTCTACACGAAAGATGTTCGTATATCAAGAAGGAAATATTATGATGCACATTGTGGACTGCTTGGAGTGTAAGAGGCATACCTCTAGGATTACTTCAAGAAGATTGTCTCTGAATTTGGCATTGACAAGTGCTTTCTCAACTGTTTTGACATCCAATCCAATACTCAGAAACACCTCTCTGACATCGAGACGACTATCTTCGAGAGAAGACATAGTACTCGTCTGGGAGGTACAAGAGTACTAGAAAGTACCGCTTCTGCAGGCAAGGAAGACTGTATACATTTGGCCACATCCCAGATCTCTAAGTGATAAAAGTGACTGGAGATGAGAGTACACGGAGAGCCCCAGAATCGAATAAGAGTTCATAACTTACACCTAATTATAACAGACGTGAGAGAACAAACGAACACATCCACCTGGAAACGAAACCTTCGTCCCCGACAATGCATCTAAAAGTGGATGTCCTCAAGATTCGGAGATTCCTCCTGTGACTTATCTGGAAACCAACTGTGGCCCTGCAACTGGTTTCCAAATCTATGCACGCTTCTTGATCATGAGACTTTCTAGTAACAAGTGAAGGAAGAGCAAGCTGTGAAAATTGGAAACGTGTTTTCTCTATGTGAAGATTGGTGCTATAAGATCATGTACAACGGCTCGGTGGGTGAAAAAAATACCTCTTCATGCTCATGAGCTCAACTCCGACTTGCATTCAGGAGGAAATAGATACTTTTGTGTGAATAGAAACGGCCACATTCGCCTCGGAATATGTTCTGGGTCGTATTAAACTTGGGATGTCACTTAACAAACATGTCAAACATGCAGACTTTGAACATTTTCTAATCCAATTCAAACGGCAAGAATCTCCAGGGGAGGACTTTTACTATTCCAGATACGACTCGAAATGTCAAAGCTGCAAGCCCGGCGAGGTTCTCATTGATGTGTCGGACGAGAAGATGGCAGGAACACTGACACGTATGTCTTTTTCCCCACTTCTTCCATCCGTTACAATTTATCGCCCTCCAGTCACAAAAGTCTGAGATGCAGATATATAGACCCGGTCAAAAACCGAAACCAAAGTTATCTCTTGTTCATAGGTAGGCGGAAACGGTGCTGTACAAAATGATAACAAAACATTGGAATTGATGGATCATGTGGCGGAACCTGCTTGAATATATCCACGTTCTACTGTTTGCTGCCATTTATTTATAGAATCGTTGGCACTTATTTGCTCCGGTCCAAGTTGGAAGCACTGTACCCACCGATTCCTTGATTCGTCTCACCGTTGTACCCCAAGGGCTATTAGGCCCTGTTTCTACACCCTGAATCAAAGTCTACATTGAACACCACTGAGATGCTCCCCATTTTCTTACTCCCAATGGATCCGAACTGGTCGATCGGCCAGGATGGGGGAATAGAAATATGATCAGCACGTCAGTTCTGGCTGGCAAGCAAACAATACGGCGGCACAGAACGACACACTTGTGTATATAGACGGCTGTGGAAACTACACGGAGGATGATTGGTGTTTCGAGTTTCTCATGCCACGAGTTGCACCCTTTCCCTCGACAAGCTCTCAGGATTTATTCATCTCGTTGCATCAAGACAGAGCAGTAATCTTGTGATGCTGTTCACGTACGATTGATGTGTTTGTTCTGGGGCAGTGGTTATCTCATGCCCGCAGCTGTGTCTATACCTTGGCCGGATCGGAGTTCTTGTGACGAATGCTGATGACTGACTACGTTGACCACGTTCCAGTAGCGTTGATTTCGAGACATGTGAATGATGCATGGAGTTCCAAATCGTTATGAGTGAGTGAGTGAGCTCGTGTCGTGCTTGAATTATCGTCGTGGTTGGTCTCGGTTTCATATCGTCGAGTCCCACTGCCAATCTGCGCAACAACTAGATCTCACCTTGAATACTTCACCTCTGAAACATCACAAAGTTTGCAGTTGCTGTCAAAGCATGTTTTCCTGAACCCTGCTCCAATCCAGTTCTGAAACGATTGTAAGGCCCTGTCGTCACTCACTCACACTCATAGCGCCGACTCAACCACATCTTCGGCTCTGTGCTTTCCTTTCATTCTGCAAGCGCTTTAGTATTTTCTCGAGAGAAGTTTCCCAACCGCAGCTTATGTGCTCTGGTGTCACCTTTGCTTCGCTTTTCAGTCGTTGCTGGGAGACAATTGTCCTCGTACACAGCCATCAATTTTCTTCAAATCAGCGGTGGACTGTGAAAGTTTTTTTTTTCTGTCAAGAGTTCAGTGAATTCAGCAGGATCAGTTATACAAGCTAACTTGAGTTTGTCTTCCATTGATTTGGTAGAATATTTTCTCTGCACTGCAAATTTCATGCATGTGGAAGACAAAAGTCTGTCACAAGTATGACACAGACCTAAGTCTGAATATATAAGATTGACGTGAGCTGAAATGCGTAGATAACAGAAACAGCAAACCCAGAATGCAGCTTAACTTCGTAGACTCGAGTCTACGAATACTGTGTCGCCTGATCACTGCAATTTAATTTATGACACATATCAACTATTAACTGCTACCGATATCGTTCTCTCTCTCTCTCTAAATATCATATCGTCGCCTATGAACTATTGTAGCGAGGTGATCGGGTTCTTAAAGAAAATATTTAAAGACTTGTCATGATGGAGAGACCTATCTCTAGAGTGTTAAAAAATAAATTAAAAACAAAAACACTTTATTTTTAATTTATTTTCTCACTGTCTATATACACAAATTAACTTACACCACACCCCAAAAAAATTACATATCACTATCTATAACTATACTCCATTAGTGCATTCTTCCTATAACCATGACGGAAAGACATTCTTCGTGTTGTTTCATCTAGCTCATTCCTGTCGAGACTTTTATGAGCGATTTGCGAGGTAGTAACGATTTGTGATGGCAGAGCTCCACTAAAACTTCCATCATATGTTTGCAGTAATGCGTATTAGAACTTGGCGACGCTGTACCATCGTTGGGGTTAAAACAAAACTTGACGGATCCCATCAAGTAGTTTAGGTTCCAATGGGGTTCCATCAAGCAAATATCTCATACATAGAACCTTCCACTACTTTGACCACTTGCGCGCCCGTCCACTTTCCTGCAGCCGTCATTGTCAACATGTCTCTAAATGAATCTTTTATTAATATAATTACCCACGTAATAAAAATAAATCAAAATAAAAATTTTATACTTGTTTTTTATTGTGATTTTTTCTAGAATAAATTATCAAATAAATAAATTTGCACACTTAATTTATTATTATTTATTAAGATATCTAATTTTATCAATTTAAAAAATATTGTAAACAAATAATTATAATTTCAGTTCATTATAACAAGAATGTTAAAAAATTTAATTATATATATATATATAAATTATTGTCAATAAAACATGTAACAATGATATATTGATACAAAATAATTCTTATTAAATGTCTTCTATCAAAAGTTAGATTGAAAATTTATGTGCTTGATTTTATAGATAAAGTTGACTAAAATTAATTAGAAATTTATTTCAATTTAAAATACAAATTACTATAATAAATTTTCATTAGTTTATGACAAAATTGTAATTTTATATATGAAGTTTGCATATATAAAACAAATATTTTTATACTCTTTAACTTTTTATTTGATACACCAAGAAATTATAGATGATGCATTCAAAATCTGACAATGGACACACAATGTCATCATGAATACATTGTTTAAGAATATCTAATGTAACACAAAGGATCAAATTAAAAACTCATTTGAAGATGGAACACAATTACGAAATACGAAAAATAAAAGATTTTTAGGTTTTATTTTTTTCCTTTACATATATTTTTCAAGAACATATATGAAGACAAACTTTTCTCTCTATTAACTAAATTCAATATTAATAGATTGATGACATTTCAGATATATCTAATGGACATATATAAATTATTTAAGTGTCGTTCTTCATTAATACATTTATTAGTACATTCACTTTTTACCTGAAAAACATATAGATTATTGATGTGTCGTTATCAACTAACATATTTATATTTTATCTATTAACCATACAAATAGTAAATGTGACAACTATAGATATAGACATATTTTAATTTTGAATAAAATTCATTTTTATTCTAATTGACTAAAGATGTTTACACCTAAATCTTGATAAATGAGTCAAAATATAACGAAAAAAACCAACATCTTTAAAAATAAAAATTTATACTAGGAAAAAATTTCAATTATATTATTTGTTACTTTATCAAATATCATTCTTATCAATTTGAATTTTTCAGATATGTGACATACATCATCACATTATTCATTCATAATTATATATTTATGAAAAAATTTAAATGCTAATGATAAGTAAATTCTCAAATTGATGGCAATTCTTAGAAAAATTTGCTTCATAATTTCATCATAATGTATCAAACAATTCAAAATTAATTTTATCTTGATTTATTTAACTTGCAGTACAATTTGAATATATATTCGGATTTGTGAATTTCACTTATTAGAATTTCATTCATTTTACATTTCAAAAACTTAGATGCAACATGTCTCAAGATGAAAATTCATGTAATCAACTATAAATCTTTGCAAATTTGTTTCATGATGCATATTTGTAACCCTATGCAAAAGTAGACTATCAATTTGATCTTAATCAAATCTAACTAAGATCATAAACAACACTTAATGAATTCAATGCACATCCACATATTTGTGCTCTATGAAATGTGGAAAATGTATATTTTTTTCTCTTCAAACAATGAATATTTTTTTTCATATACATTTTTTAGGTTTTATTTTTTAACTATCTATAATATCAGTGCTCTAATCCATCAACTTCTAAGATATTCATCTCTCATTAATAATATATTTCCGAGGATTATTACATTTTATAGAATTGACTTGCTAAGGCCTCACTTTGTCTACATATGTACTTCATAATTTAGAAATTGCATATATGGATATTCCATTCTACTTGGCTGTGGTCGTTAACGTTCAGATGGTAAGGTCTTGTTCATATATATTTTTTGGATTGAATGTGGTTAAAACAGAACATCCACAAAATTCACATGTCTCGCTATGTCGACTACATTTCAGGCCCGCCTCACATTGATATTTCTTCAACTGTGTCCGAAACTTCCGAAGTTTGATCAGTTTAATTAGATGAGTAAAGATTTCACGCTTGGCCCTGATAGTCAAATGCTTTCTGCTCGAGGAAATAACTTACAGGTTTAATTGTCTCCCGACATTCTTTCGAGTAAACATGATAGCCCGTCCGATGAGAAGGTTTACCCTCTGTCCTGCGAGCGAGTTTTCTGCCACGTCACCAGTGACTTGACACGTACGATCAAGGGGCCAATCAAGTAAATGCTCAAATTGGAGTACATTGGGAGGCCAAGAAGCGAAAGTCGGGTCTTCCGAAGCCATGTTTCTGCGCTTTTCCCCTTTCGTCTATATGTAGCTAGTTTACCATATCTTCAGACATTGATTTTGATGCTCGAATCTGCGAATTTTAACCAAGAAAGTACATCTCGACAGACATCGAGGTATGAAATAGAAAGTATGGATTGAAAGTCTATCGATGATGTGCTTTCAATCCATACTTTCTATTTCATATCTCGAGGACTTGAAGAGAAGATTGTTTACAAACTTTGAAGGTGCAGACTTGGTGGGAGACCGTTAACGAGCGCAACAGCAATGGACTGGTATCAAATGCATGGCCAGTGCGCTGAGGTCGAGAGATGTGTTTGTTACACCGTCTCTGTAAGTTTGAAAGAAGCCTGGATCGAGGCGTTGCTGATGCGCAGACAGCATGAGACGCTCACAGGTATGAGAGTGTGCAGCTCAGTGCACACGGATGAGCCTCAAGATCTCAGCTTCTTGCATCAAGCAGCTAAGACTCCAGCTTCTCCACATACACCCTCGCACTCATACAGCAAACTCATAGCAGTTTTGAGCAAGGTACTACACCCTCGATGGACGTCACAAACCACCGCTACTGGCGTATGTTGCAAGCGTGTTCCGAAACAAGGCAAGAAGATGCCGTCTCGAGTCTCGACTGGCCCCAAGACCTCAAGATGCACTGCTACGTGACGCTGATTGTCACGACTTACATCGCTAATGAACTTCATCGGTGGATGCAGACGGCTTCGCCCCAATGAAGTAGCGTACTGAGTCATTTAAGGCAATTTCTGCCGGAAATGCCTCATTATGCTTCTTCAATGGACCCTCACTAGTGATGCCGGCACGCGCCTGCAGCTTGCTGCGGCAGCGCACCTTGCACGCAAGTGTCAATGAACAGACAAGCCCGATTGAGGAAGATACTGTTGATGCTTCTCAGCCAATAAGCTTCCATCATCAGAGCTCATGACACAGATTCGGGTACTGTATGCACACTTCCGGCCAACATTAAAAGCTCACACCAATTCGATTCGATGGCTAAGTACCGTGGATCTTAGAAGAAACCACACCTTCTACGTGCTTCCAAGTCTCCTACTATCCAAGATTCTCAACGAAGACTAAGAGCAGAGCCTGTGGAAATTGTGCACCCCGCTTCGGTCGGCCCTCCCACCTCCGCTTCTCTTCTACCTCATCACTTGGCAGGCCGAGCCAGCAACTTGGCCCCCTTGACACGCCTTCTGTACATGAACTCTCAAAACTGTCAAATCGAGCACCTTCAGACCCGATTGCCGGGCCAATAGGAGGCCTAGTCTGTCAACGAGGGCCAGCGAGCGCTGGTTTCTTCTCGACACCGATTATCCGGATTTGCTTCAGAACATGGACGAGGATCTGGCGGAAGAGTTTGATGATGAACGGCGGGGCCATGCGAGAGCAGCACAGTCTGCAAGATCGCCATGGAATCATATGGGCGAAGGTTTTCCAACCGGATGTGCTTCAGAACATGGACGAGTATCTGGCGGAAGAGTTTGATGATAAATGTTTGACTGCGGTGCCCAATTAAAAGCATTGCCCCCCCTCCTTAGATACTGGCTTCCCCATTGATACTAGCACAAATAAAAAAAATTCTGTGTTTTTGGAACACACACGGATCCACCAATGATCCAGGCAATCCAAGAAAATTTCCCTCTCCATAGTAATGTCCAACCTTGTAAATTCTGTGTGTTCCACAAACAAACAGAATTTTGTAATTTGTGTCACCTCCTAGGACTAGAGAGAGATAATGTGGAAAGCGAACACTCGTGACAGCCAACTGTGTAGTGTGCAACCAACTTGAGAGTTGTTCACCGACACACACTCAACATCACTCCTCCGTTCTTACATCCGGCCCCCTGCTACAGAGTGGCCCTGTATGGTTGAGTCTGAGTGAGTGTGGTATGGAATTGGACAGTGAACTCAAACCGTGTATCTACACACAGAAAATATTATAGATTTCGTGTTACCACCGGTCCCGCTACTTCATAGTGAACATCGGAGTTCCCAGCTCATTCGAGTCTGACCCCAGAACTTTGTGGTTTGCTATGCTGTAGCTCCCCTTCCCCCACACACACAGAACAGCATTCCTGTCTTCTTCTCCTCGGGCTCCCTGCTACCAGGGACTGGCCCTGGAGGTTCAGCTGCTATATTATGGTTGAGAGTTTGAGTGCAGAACTGTGTAGTATGGAAGCAGTGGGAGTCAAGCAGTAAAATGACCGGCCCACATTCAGCATTTCTCGTAGTTTTTCTGGTTTTTTGTCTGCTATTACTCAAAAGTGGACATGAGGAGTTCCAAATCATTCATCTTAAATCAACAGTGAAGTCAAACTGCATAGCCCACAAACAGGACAGCACTTCTCCCGTTCCATTCCGGGCTCTCTGCTACCAGAGTGGCTCTCTGTTTAGCACGGTTGAGTTTCAGTGGAGAACTGTTTGGTGTGAAGTCAACGGTGAGGCCCTGTGTTTTTTATGCTCGTATGTTATTCCAATGTGGCTCTTAAGAGTTCCAGATCTCTCATAATCGGTGAGTTTTAGTGCAGAAGTGCAGAATTGTGTGGTGTGTATTCAACGTTAACTACCGCAACACTTAGACAGAAGACTCCCATGTTATTTCGAGCTCTTAGCTACCAAAGTAGCCCTTGTAATTCTGGCTCCTTTTTCATGGTTGCAGACTGTGTGCTGTGTAGTTCACACACCACACACAGAACAATTATCCCGCCTTATTTCAAGCTTTGGTTGTCATAGTGGCCCTTGGCTACTTTCCCGTGGTTGAGATTCAGTTAAGAAATGTGGTGTGCAGTAAACAATGTAGAAAACTCTCTCGTTATCTTGAGGTTGTGTCACTTAAGAGGCAAGTGGAAATACTAGATAGTTTATTATAGTGATGATGTATCACATTTTTGCCCCCTCGCGAGTCCCTGTATAGAATTTGCGGCATATCTAGACCGAGGGGGACTGGTGCACGTTGCTCACTGTAAATATACATATTGTGCAAATATTAATTCAAAAATTGAATTAAAATGAAGATGAAGAGACGTTCACCTCTGTAGTTTCATGCGTATGCTTCTTTTCCCATTTTACTTTCATATTAATTTGCCAGTTTCGGTACACGACTTTCTAACCACATAAGTTACTATATTCTAGAGAGCTGGAAGAGTCCGTCACGAAGCAGATCCAAAAGCTTTGTGGTGTCAAGAGCAACCGTAACAACCCTAAGATTGTGACTGATGAGATAGCGTGATTTAGTTTTCTAAAGTGGATTTTGGCTGTTGTGAGTGTGACATAAACTTAGCCCGATGTAGATGTTTGCGGTTTCAATAAAATGATTCTCATTGATTCCACAAGCTCACTGCACCAGCTAGCAGGGTGACAGTGTCATGTTTGCTGTTTACTAAACTTTATGGATGCCAGGTGGAGCTACTGTAAATGTATAGACGGACGATTGTGTCGTCACATGTTTAACACCTGATGCCAGGACGGGTGTTTAGACAGGTTGTCTGAAACTCTGACAGTTACTTGGGATCTGTGGGATCTGCACATCACTATCATCACCCTCATAAGCGAACTAGGATTTCCAAGAGTCGACACAGAGTCAAAAGGTATTTTGGGGTTATGCCACTTCGGAGGCAAGTGGTAATTTCAGTAACATAACTGTGAAACGGCCAGTAAACAGCAAACATGACACTGTCACATTCTTATCATTATTCATTCATTGCTGTACACTGGGCGTCACATTCTTATCTGTATGTCAACGCGTTGTCTAGACAAATCATCCTGCCTCATGAAAATGTAGATAGTCAAACTCAACTCGACAACGTCTTGCATTAAAGTCTAGGGATAATCTCATTGACATACATATTTTTTGCAATACAATCATGTCATCGTCTGCCGTACTGCTGAAGTCCAAGCAATCATCAGTTTAAGTCATTCATGAACTTCAGCTCTATGTCTGTGATAAGCATTTCTATCACCATGAGCAGGGTTATGGAAGTGAAATCTAAAACTGACAGATATCCCCCATGTTGAAGGAAGCCAGATCTGCTCATATATCACGTCAAATATACACCTGAAGTTGCTCTTCAATCACCTAATGCAGAGTCTGCTTCCAGGGTTTATTCCCGCTTTCAGCACAGGAACCAAAGCATTTGGACCCTCAGAAAACCGCTCCCTCGCAGTGGACTGAGTCGCAGATGACATTCTTGGAGGCTGATGCCTAATCGCTGTTCCAGTCTTTGGCGTAAGCTTCTAAAATAGCATCCCACTCCGAAACATTCGCAGCTTCGTCCAGAGGACCCAGCTCCAAATAATGCTGCTCAATTCCTTGAGCCGAGACATGATCCAGAAGGACAGACAAGAGGAAACACGACGCGAGAATCACAATTGCCAGTACATTCATCTGCAACGTACTATCGACGGCTTCTTCGACTTCATGCCAACCTAGCTTCAAATTACCAAATACCGATTCTACCAACTGTTTACGTCCGCATATGCTGAATTTGGAGTCGTCTATACGGATTGACACATTCCTCTGTCATTATTTTCTGACTCCATCGAAGAAAGCTCCGATGTCGAAGTTTATGAGATCGAGTAACCACGACGGTGATTTTCCGTAATCAGTAATCTTTGCGAGCTGGAAAATTACTCCGATGGCCTGGAGTTACGATGTGCTCGATTGTGAAATTCGTGTTGTAATAGGTTCTCTACGTTTGTGGGAATCGATAATCGGAGGGGAGAAACTGGAAGCAAGACGCGAGGTCCTCAGAAGGACGTAGACGGAGCAGATACAATTCCGTCTTAGAAGGTTTTCTATTCAGGGGATACTTTCGCACCTGACGGTCCTTTCTCAATCCGCACCAAGTGTATGATGTGTGAGCATAGAGTATATTCCCAACAATGAGACGAACCGGACTCTAACTCTGGTAATGAGTGAATACATGCATTCCACAAGACTCTTCTCGCATTAAGACAACTACTGTTTGAGCTGAATTTACACCGTTGGGATGAATTTTATTAGTAGTGGAATCAACCTTCGTCTTAAAGAGTGATGCCACACTAGAAAATCAATGAACATATAGCGGGGCCCATATCTCATACATGACAAGATGCATCTGGCAATCCTTCCTTAACTTTCGATAGTAGCCCGGTGCAGCTTTTCATATACCCCTTCAGAAAGTAACACAGGTCTATTGTACATCTAAACATAATCCTTTGCAAAATTATCCGCATACTGCGCATGCCTGCGAGAAAACCAAGGCAATGTTTTACATCACATGTTGCTAGGACCAGATCTGTCGCAAGAAAAGGAAAAACACGAACGCACACTTCATAACCGGGTAGAAAGAAAAACTGTGGCTGCAATTTCACTCGTCAGTCGATGAGTGTCAATTAATCAGTCTCAGGTTATTCCCAGCAGCTTCATCACAAGATTTACAACTTTTCTGAGATTATATTTATTTGTCCTCTATGGCGTTCTTGAAACCAGAATCGGCGTGGAAAATACTTTTCATCTCTGGGGAACATCCGCCATACATCAAAGACATAAATAGAGAGCAGTTGCTGCATGAAGATCTTTTCCAATAGATGTCCGTAAATAAAACTTAAAAGCTAGGATCCCTACAGCCACCTTTTCTTCTGACCGTGATCTACGTCCGTTCTTTAATTGGATCACACAACGAAACATAATAATGAGATTATTTCAATTATCCACTCATTTAGGAGCGTTAAAACACTCTGTACTACAACAAATCGCATCACTTTGCAAGAGTTCCTATTACATGTCATCAAACGACCAAATCACTTCCACCAAACATATTCTAAGGAAAGTTCTGCAGGCACAAGAAATTCGTAAAGATTTGTGCGAAGATTCCAGAAGCAGGCACGAATCAGCTGCTTGTTTACGTGTTCCGACGTATAAGCTGAAAGCAGCTCAAGTGCTTAACCCGAATGAACCCATGCTTTACCATCTCATCAAAATTTGTTCACTTATGAAGTTACGGCACAACAGACCAAGTGTTGTCCAGACTCCAAACACAGTCGACCAGTAGGGCCATATACCTACGCTCTTAACCTATAGCCGAAGTTTCAATCTGATAAACATTTGTTTACACAACAGGGAAGAGAAACGGGGTTACAAAATTGTCTATTTCGGTGTGAGGTCGTGTGCAGTGGACCAAGGATGTGCAATGCAACCTTTGCTCATCGCTCTGCTCCTCGAACCCCTTGGACAGCGTTTATATACTTCGAAGGGAATCACTGATCAGATCAATAAGATATGCCCGAGACTGATCTTTTCTCAAAGCCGAAGGAAGAGGGTAGAGAAATGGCCGGGCATCCTCTCAGATCTGCAGGACTAAGGCATTAAAGTACTCATCGTATGAAAGCCATCCTGCCTCCCGATAGTGCTACAAAGTGGTGGCACATGGAAGGCCTAAAATGTCTAGCGAACAGAACGCATGCATGATTGATCAAAAGTGGCACACCCCTACGACCTAAAATGCACGACTGTCCTAAGAATACGTGCCCAGTGGCGAATGGGTACAACAAGTTGGGACGTCGCTGCAAGCTCTCAATTATTTTGAGCGTTGACATCTACAAGCAGCTGAAGGGATGGCAAAATCTACAGAAGGCATATGAATACAGTTGGCTAGAATTTCTTCCCCCTAAAGGGCAAAATGTTCTGACTTGATGTGGTGCTTGGAACTCCTCACCATCTACAATCACTCAAGCTCCTGCAGCCTCACAGTTGTGTACAGTAAAGAATTATTTTCTTGCTGGGAGAAACCCTAGACATTTTTTGCCAAAACTGCATCGGCTGGCACTGCAACTCATATATGCACGCAAGCCCAACTTACTACCTTTGAAGCTGGAGCTTCACAAGGCCATCTTTGTGTTGAAGGTATACTCACTTGATTCACACATTGACAGTATCGTCTAGCTAGAAGAATGTTTGCGTAATGAATAGGCCCGATAGATGGCTATACCGGCAACCACCACAGCCGTACTAACTGCAAGCATGACACGAGAAACCACCAGATGAGAACATGTATAACATAGAATTGGATAGGTTTAGGTTGCGTGCATGTGCGACTTGGATAAACCTATGCTGACGACTGCTTTCAGAACGAATTATTGCTGACATACCTGCCACGAGAGTTACAGAACGGTTGACCAACTGCCGGTAGTGTTTATGACTTCTACCCGCCTCAGTTTCTGGTATGCTGAGATGGGGACGTTGGGCTGCGTCTACGACGCGACGGAACAAGTTGCCGATATCACCAAGTTTCATACTCACTGAGATTGGTGCTTCTACACCCATGTCAGTACACACCTGTCACAAAAGCTTAAATTAGGATTGGCAGGTTCACGATAACGTCGTGCAGGACGACAGCTGAATACGTGAAATACCATACTTTACTCCCGCAAGTTCAGACTTGCACTCCTGGTTGTGGTCTATAACGGCCAGGCAAAAGGAAAAGACAAAAAAGACACCCTATCTCACCCTTGCTGAGTTCTGAATGGCGTTGGGGTCAGGTTCCATATCATCCTTTGCAGCAACCAGAAGACATGGAACCTCAAAGCCACTCGATTCGCCATGTGCGGCAACCTCTAACAAGAGTTCGGCAGCACGTTTCCATGATGCCTCATCAGAACTGTGAAATGAATCCCACATGAATGAAGCTTAAATTAGGATACACGACTTGATAACGATTACTAAGGAGAACCATTCATTTTCTTCAGGGAAAGTAACACTTTTACCGTCGGGACAAAAACATCATGGCAAATAGCTCATACGTAGGCCTTTCCCCACATAAATTGCACACAATCAATCATCTAGCAGGAAACCTTGTTCTATTCCAAAAAATGGACAATAAAAACGACGGATTTCATACAAGTCTTTGTCATGCAGGACCTGGAATTGAGCAACGGTTGCATGCGGCAACCCAGAGGCAAAATGTCCTCAATCTCACCTGTCGTAAACAAACGCGGCCACATCACATGAAGCTAATGCGTCTTTCTTTTCCAAAAAACCTGGAACGATTTCTTCGTTGATTTCTTTCATTATCAGTGTCTTCTTCGAGCCCTAAATATAATCCAACAAGAAAACAAGTTCAGTTAATAGTACGCATTGTGAGCAGTTATCATTGCTAACATACATTGCACAAAGACGAGTGGGTTCAGAAACATACACCCAGCTGCTCGACAGAGTTGACAGCGTATCGGTCACCCTCTGTATGCACATATGTTTCGTTATACGGCCTGCAATACACAACAGCCTATAATAAATGCGAGATATATCACAAGCGGGTCACGACTACCGCTGAAAAGGTAATAGGGAAGTGTAAAAACCGGAACATGATTGGATAGAGAAACTAAGTGAATGTGAAGAGATGTCCAGATTCGCACAAGGCACACAAGGGCATGCTGCCCGTAGGAACAGGTAATACCTGCCGATGAGGGCGTTCAGAAGAGCAGATTTTCCAGCATTCGTTGGACCGAAAACGTAACATTGTAAAACACTTCGCTGCAAACGTTGGCGCTTGCGATCTTGCCGACGACGTCTAGTGATTCTGAAAGCTGATGAGGGGTCTCCGGGAAATCCTATGTATATGAGATGAGCCAGACTTTTAAGAGGATCAAGAACGGTCATCAAAGCCCACTGCAACACAATAATATGAACAACTGTCAGAAGGAAGATGAGTATCAAGAGCACAAGCGACGGAGCTTAAATCTGAAATACTGAAACACTACCAGGACGTACTAGAATACACCTTGCTCAAAACAACTAACAAACCTGTGATAAGAATCCATTCAGGGTCATGGCGCCCGCAGCATTAGTCTCCACGGAGTCCTTGTACTCAGGGTCGTCCCAAGGACTAAACAAAAAAACATGATATAATTAAAACCAAGCCGAATAAACATGGTTGAGCTTTCATCAGCAGCATCTTCTCTCATGTACTTAAATGTTTTGGACAAGACTGCATCAGCCCTTGCACTGGTCTCTATACTCCTCCTAATGAATCTTCGTACAATAATTAAACTCATTGTTCCTCAAAATAGAGCATTTCGCATAATGCGAACTCTTGCAGTGTTCCGTGACTAAGGTCACTATCCTGATTAAGGAGCGCAATCATTGACGATTATCTTGATCAAGTAGTCTTCCTGATCATAAATGAAACGTCCACTCTCGAGCCTTAAATGAATACTGCGCTTGATGTGCACTATCTAAATTGATATTTTCAGTACGTCATTCACAACTTACAAACTTTTAAGCAAGTGGAGATCACAAACTTCGGCAGTCTAAAGCTTGAAGCATTAGCCCAGGGGGGAAGACATCAGTCTTACAACTACAAAACTTATGAATGATTCCTGGAAAACATATAAACATTCTTCATACGCGGACTTGACACCTCATAAGAGTCCTAAAGAGACCCAAATGAGAAAAAACAGAAAAACGGAAACTCATTGCCAACGTCACAATAGAAGTGCCTCACAGAAGATTCTTGAGTTTCCTAGAACAATCATTTTACTGACCTTGAAGGAGAAGTCGAAAAAAGCTCTTCAAGCTCTTGAGTGCGAAGAGCGCCATCCTGAATGATACAGTTTGAAATACCACAATCAGTAAAATTCTATCTTATGGATACTCGATCACCATGTCACTCGGTCCACTTTCGAAAGATAATTTCGATACATAATTCATTGCTACTTCTTGAAGCAGGCACATTACAGACCTGAGGGAAAATAACGGTAGTCAATAGTAACTCACCCCATCGATGTCAAATGCAGAAAAGACTCCCTTCAGATAGTCTATTCCTTTGTCTGTAAGCTCCACACTCTGCCAAGATAATCAAAATCAACTTCAATAAGGGAGTTTGAGTTCACGAGATTGCCATTTCCTCGTACATAACACTAAAGGTATTCGGAGACGTTATTATTTATTTTCTTCTTTTTTGTTGAACTTATTATTCTTTGGTTCTTCTTAAGCAACACTTGGGACTACCGAATTTACATACTCATGATTTGTTTCATTTTCACTTATAAAGACTTTATTATTAAAATGAGTGGTTTAAAAAATATATTTTTTTTAATTTTTTTAAATGGGTTTCCAAAAAGAATAAAAAAAAAACAGGAACAATAAATCGACTTCCTAAAAAAGAAGCAGCAAATTTAAAAAGACAATTAGATCATTTACAGAAGTATTTAGGTGGCATTAAATACATGACAAGTTACCTGATATTGTTATTATTATTGATCAACACATTTTTGCGAGAAATCGTTCACCCGGGAGGTCGTTGGCTTGTCCCTTTCCTATTTATTATTGCAAAAATGTACGATTGATCCATAGAGTGATCGTTTTAATTTGGCACTTCTTCCCAAAAAGCAAACACCACAAAAAAGTACCAAGTACAATTGAAAAAAAACTCAGGACCCGGATATTAAAAGGTAGAAGCTGGGCAAAGTATCGGATCGACTTGAGTTGCCCAATATACCTGATCAGAAGCTCGCTTGAAAGACGGATTTTGCAACAAATCATCTCGCAACTTTATCTCATCATCATAGCCAAATTTGCGCAAAACGGTCCACGTAGTTTCCAGCCGACCACGCTCAATAAAAAGTGCGTGTAAGAATAAAAATCCCGTTAGCGTCAAGCCATTTTCGCTAACCCCTTCTGACATTTTCTCCGAAACAACCTTCTTCACTCCTACAACTTCTGAAGGTTGAAGGGGGGCATTAAAACATTTCACCTGTTCAGAAGAGAGCGTGAAGGACGTCAACCAGATATCACTTCCCACTTCAAGACAAGGTTAATTCAGCGCTATCATATCTAAGATGAGCAAGTAGTACGACAGTGATCAATTTTTCAGATTGAGCTAAATTGGATATTAGATCCACTGCACGCGTCTATCGGGTTCTTTTCGCGATAAAGTTATCATATTTCTCCATTTCAAAAGTCTGCTTCTCGATATAATGTCCTGCTCGTAAAGTAAATTTACTATCCTCTTCTCAAGTAAATTACGTTACTTAAGAAGAACCGACCCAAAACTAAAAGTATTAGCCCAATGTAACCTGAACTCTCAGCAAAAAAATACCTGGAAGTCATTCAACTCTGAATCATTTAGTGCTCCGTCTCGGTCATGATCACAAAGAATGAATATTCTTTTCAAAGCGCGTACGCAACGCGGTTTTAATGTTTGAGTTTCTTGATCAAATAAGGGTGCAGTAGGATGCAGTACTGCTTTCTGCGCATAATAAAAAACTTCTGCAACCTGCGGTAGAAATAAGGGTCTGACGGTGATCAGAAACAACAAACATTCAAAACTTGGAATGCACAGCTTATACAAGGCAGCGCACTCACGACGGAATGACAAAGTATTAACCTAACAGTGTACAAAGCTCAGACCAAAGCAGACAAACAATCCTGTAAGTAAGATATACACAGATCTCGAAGCTTGAGAATCTCTTCAGGTAATTAATAACAAGAACTTCCTACAAATCAAAGGTGACCATGAAGAAATGAAACCCACAGTTAAACTCCTCTCACACTAAGACACTTGCAGAAGAGAACAAGACATTTTTGCGCTGCTGAGTGCTAAGAATTCGCCCAAAGCAGATATGAAACCCGAACCTGAATTTGTTTGACAGCAGAGCACTCGATGCATGTTTCGACTTCTCTGAACTCGTGCATGAGAGGAGCCATCACTTGCTCTAAGCTTGGTTGTCGATCATCCCGAAGATCTAACTTACAACCCACCACTATGACGGGAACCTTCACCTGCGATTTACACATGCCAGTTCAAGTAGCTGTTCGATGAATACGAACGTTGCCGCAGAATTTAATCGGAATAGATAACCAATATTTGACAATCGTAACTGCAGAAATCCGTATGTCTCCCGAATGCAGGAAGATTGCTCACACTGTGCACTTTGTGATGACTTCTCATTCAATAATGGAGGACAACATTCATCTCCCTCGCTATCCGATACATCCAAGCCTTTTGTGACTCGAATTTTGGGCTATTCTAGTCTCACTCCCCATCACAGCTTTCAATAAGAGTTCCTCGTTTGGTTTCTTCTGGTTTCAAATGAGCCCTTACACTAAAGAAGACTAAGAGAACTACGAATTGCCAGATCGTCCTGACTCCGGGGAACCAAGCACCAACGCAAGTGGGTTTGATGGGCGCACGGTAACTCACAATGACATTCAACGACATTTGAGTTCGTTCTGCAATGCTCATGTATGTCGAACCAAATACAAACGATTTATAGACCCAATACAGCACCTACTCAGCAACCTACAGCTTGTGGCAAGCATTAAATACGACTCGACATGATACGACAAACCCGAAATCAAAGCTGGGCTTCAACATTGAACTCACCTCTAACTGGCGCAGTTCTGGCAGCCAGTAGTTGGAGAGTTGGTCGAGAGTATGTGGTCGATCACATGCGTAAGTGAGGACAATAGCATCTGCCTTCTTACATTCTAATTCCAACTTCCCCTTGTCCTCGGGTCTGTTAAAGTTCAGAGCAACGGTACAAACAATGAATTACAAATGCCTCATACAGTAAATCTCAGTGGCGACCACTGAATTTCCGACTAGAAACTCAAACTGGAGGGGAGACAAATGCCCACGAAAGAAACAGAATTAAGGACTGAGCTCCACTTTCCAACGAATCCAAGAAAGGGGGCTTAGCAGTTGAACCCTAGGGCAACCACTGAACTATTTCCAATTCGACCTCGTAAGCCCACAATTCACACGGCCCTCGACCAATTCGAAACAAATGCCACGAGATTCGACCGCTAAACCGACTCCGCGCATCACATCGCCAGATCTCGGAACCAAAAATAGCCCATCTGGAAATCTGACCGAAATCGGGCGTCGTTGAGAACCCCGATCAGTTTTCCGAGAGAAAGAAAGAGTACCTCGAGGAAGTGTCGATAATGGTGACGGGAACGCGATCGGGATAGAAATCGTTGGGAAGACGAGTCGGGGGCAGAACCGGCGGTGATTTATCCGGGAAGGAGTCAGTTGCAACAGCGATGATAAGGCTGGATTTACCCGTTCCTGCTTCTCCGACCACCACCACCCTCACCCCTGCGGTGGAACTCATGTCTTCCACCCCTGTACCACTCTCTACTCCCCTGCAGGTCCTCTTCTCTAAGCGTCTCACTTCGTGCTGCGTACTTTCTTCAACCCCCACCACCAACCTACTACTCCTTCCCGCTGTTGCTGCAAGCGTGCAGCTTCCACCTCTCCTCTACTACTTCTGCTTTTTTTCTCCCCGTGCCTCGTCTCCTGCTTAGCCTCACCTTCACTCTCTCTAGCTCTCCCTCGCTCTCTCGGCGGTCTCTTGCTGACTCTAGCTCTGCTTCTTTCGCTCCTCTCGGGGCTCTCTCTCGATGCTCGAACTCGTGCTCTACTCTGCTCCCGTTCTTTGGATCAACAGCTCGTCCTCTGTGAACGACCTTGCTCAAACTCCAGACCTCCTCCTGCAGCAGCAGCGGCAGCAGCAGCACAACCCCACCATCATCTGCGTTCTCCGGGAGTGCCAAGCTGATGCCGATGGGCCGATGGGTGGGTGGGGTTGGAAAAAAGGAAGAGGAGGTGTTAACAACGACAACACCACCACCACCACGAGCGACAGCGACAACAAGTAGAACAGGAAGAGGAAGAGAAGGAAGAAGAAGAACAAGAGGAGGGCGAGCAGCAGCAGCAGCAGCAGGTCATGCGATCTCCCCAGATGATCTCAGCAGCAGCATCAGCACACCAGTGAAGCAGCAGACGTCCGACTCGTTTCTACAGACATTAGCCCCCTCCTCACTGACTCGCGTCCCGTCCCCTTTCATCGGCACCACCAAAACCACTACCGACTTCCCCACCCTCCCCATTTGTCCTTCCCTTCGCTCTCCCCCTACCCATCCCCTCCCCACTTTCCCTTCCTCTTGGACCTCCCTCTCTCCCTCCTTCAGCAAATTTCGCCTCGTCGCGCCTTTCTTCTCTTCCCCACCTCTCCCTTACCTCTGATTCCTTCTCTTCCCGCCTTCGCTAAACTTCGCGGCCTTGCCCTCCCTCTATCTAGCGCTGGCGGGCACTTCCCCCGACCGGACATTTCCTGGACTCCCGGTCCATGCGCTGGACCCCAGTCTGGAGGCCCTTCCCGTGCCAGTGTACACCACCTCCATGTCCAGCGGTGTCCTAGGATTAGGGTTTTGCTAGGGTTAGTTAGGCTAGGTTTAGCGGGACTAACAGGATGGGAGGACTGGAACCCAGGCTGGGGATGGGGGGAGAGAGATTCGAAGGCAATTGTTCTCTTGTCTGCTGAAGGCTGGGGGTATCCAACCGCATCATGCCATGATCTTTGCACACGTTCGTTCCGTTCGGCCTTGTTTTTGGCGTTTCTTCTTCTCCTTGCTGTTTCCAGAACATTGATGTTTTCCTCCTTTCCTCTTTTGATGTTCCCCCTTGTATTTTAGTGTTTATGTCCTCGATGTGGATGGTGTTCTTCTCTCATCATGGACTTGGAATCAGTTCCCAGCCCTTCCTTCCTTCTTCTCCCTTCTCAATTTCTCTTTTATATTGTTTTGCTGCCCGGAAGAACTTGTTCTTGTCTCCTCGTACGTTCTACTTTTTCAGCATCATGACTTCCATTTGTACGAGTGTCATACTCCCCCACTACCATCAAGGCGCTACGGAATCGTATTTCACCTTTCCTTTTAAAATAAGTGCTAATAATGCATCCACATACAAATGATACCTCAAGTAAGCCGCAATGTGTCAACTGTTCTAACGAATGGTCATCTTGCTATAACCTCTTCGAATGTCTTAAAAAATATGATAATAAGACTTTAAAGTAGGGATGAATGCACACAGAAGATATATATATATATATATATATATATATATTCATGAGTGCAACGAAACATGAAGAACATTTACGCAATGGATTAACTGTCACAGTGTATCTTCCAACATCAACAGGATCCCATAGATGTTTCTTTACTTGTCTAATTGTGACATCTGGATACTCTCAGAAGATGCTTGAGATGATATGACGATTGAGTTCAGAAGCTCGACTTTGCTTCTAGCATTCTATAACTCATGATGAGAAACTCACTGAAGAATCTCAAATTGAGCTTTTTTGAACTAAGTGGTATGCTTGTCTTCGGTTGTTTACTACTAAGTAGATGCGAAGTGTCGTGCTTAAAATGAACAGCTTGTATAAGAAGAGCAGGCATAAAAAATTGTTTTGAGGCGGTCCTTTGCACTGCACCCTGAACCGCGACTTGCTAAATGTCGACTTTTGATAATTTTGTATGTTTCAATCATCTTTAACACTAATTTAGTGTTAAAGATGATTCTCATTGATGACAAGGAGAAAAATCGTCAGCATGTTGATTGGTTACTGGTTCTCTTACATTATCAATAGATATCGAGCTTGACACAAATTTACCTTTTAAAGGACACATTCTACTTTAGACTTCACATTGAATACATTACATACATAGATACTAAATATGGTAATCGACCTAGTCCTCTTAGGTTCGTAAGGAATATTGATACCAATCGGACATTCACCTGATGATAAGCCTACATACTTTGTATATAATTATTGCTGTTCTTTGGCTTTGCACTCTATGGGGAATCCTGTTGTAGCTTCAGTGAACCAGAATGAAACATAAAGCAACTCATTGTAACACTATACCTTAGTTCTCATGGGCCGTAATGATTTATGTACATTTACTGTTCTCTTTCTTTCTTCTATCTTTACCACCTGTAGTGGCATACCTAAATATAATGTGGCTTCCTTTCATTTGAGTTGTTTTAAGAATCACTCAAGACAAGAACAGGTACGTCTTAAGCTTCATCAGAAAAGAACATCGGTATATATATATATATATATATATATATATGTGAATGACAAAGATATCATACAAATATTTGTTTAGCTCCAACATTACCACATTATCTTAAGTACCTTAAAGGCCTTTCCTAGAACATGTGGCAAGAACTATATATATTATTATGTAAATTAATACTAAAATTTGTATTCCAAAAGCACCCACATACATGCACAAGCTTATATTTTCTTTTCAAGATTTGCCAATCAGCAATCATTAGGGTTTGAAAACGGGAGCCTCATGATGATTAGTACTTATTTGGATAAATAACTGTCGAAGAGGGAGATCCGTGTTTTATGTAATTTGAAATTCTCCTTATTAAAAAATTGCAGCCTCACGTCTACTGCGTGAAGCTACAATGCTCTCTGTAGCTTTGACCTACCTTCCCATCCTTTAAACTATATTACTTGGTGCTTTAGACGCTTCGACCCACCTTGTGAAGTATAGTAGACATTTTCCCTTAATTTCCCGACTACTCTTCTTTTGAAATCATGATCTTTTCCTTCTGGATCTTTGATAACCTCATTGGGTCATGATTGGAGAACTCAAAAGGATGGAGTGTACTCACCAACTCTGTACCCGAGGCTGGAGGTTATCAAGATATTTTTTAGAACATTTCATAAAATGTGGCTGACTTTAGTGTATGTAGAGTTTTGTAGTTATTACTCTGGGTTATCCCGAGCCATGTTGAGTCTAATATGTAGCCATTGACATTGAAGGATGCGGTGGAAGTCATACCTGAAAAGAAGAGAAATGAACAAAATTTTAAGGTAGGGCTGATGTCATGAATGTAGCGCTTAAACACGCAAGTTTCTCACGTTGAAGCAATCAAATTGACACGAGATGCTCAGAAGATTGGAGACACTTTCTAGTTCAGATGTCTTGAGAATCTACTTATCCACCTCTTGACTCTGAGTGATTGCTTACTATGCTGTCTATGGTTTTCGAGACAACATGTGATCCGTACTGGACATTCACAATCTACGAGGGTGTACTTGTCTCTCTTGTGAATACTGTACAGCAATAGGACCTCCGAGGAGTTGGGCTGACCACATCCCAAGAAGAAACTGTACAGTGAGAATCTGTGGAACGCAAAGGTTCAGAGGCTTGGAGTTTTACGGGTTCTGACAACTTCAGGTTGCCTCAGGAGTACGAAGAAAGATGCACAGCACTGTTTCAATGTCGAGGAGATTCTCAGCACCAAAGAATCTGAAGCTTCTCTGACGTGGAGCACAAAGATAAACTCCCTTCATGTACCAGGACAGCAGGACCAGTTCGAAGTCCTCTTCGCAACCTCGGACTGCGAGAGAAACAGAATTCTCGTCACTGCAGATTATGAGTTTACAAAAAGCGAGTCGGAAATGGCATCGGGAGGAGGAATGAGACTAGTTCGCTCAACTCTACAATCTTTGCTGAGCGGAAGGAGGCCTCTGGGTAGCCTGGGGGTGATTCCCACAGTCGAGTGTAGCATTTGGAAGAGAAGAAATGTCAACAACAGTCATCCCCCTGGTTTTGTGCCGAACAGGTGGTCGAGTGTAGAAGCGGAGATATCTCGATTCGACCGAGTGATCCAAATAGAGGAAGCCTCCACTCCTCCCAGCTCATGGTACACGAACCTCGAGATATTCAGCCTGGAGCTCGAGAAAGTGTTCGAAAGGAGGTGGCAGGCAGTGGGTTTTGCTCATCAATTACAAAAACCTGGAGATTACTTCACGGGCAAAGTAGGGAGGGTGACGTATGTCGTGTGTAAGGACGAGCAAGGGACTTTGCGCGCTTACCACAATGTGTGCAGGCATCATGCTGCAGCAGTCGCTTCAGGTCAAGGCTGCACTTCGTCCTTCGTTTGCCCTTACCACGGTTGGATTTACGGCCTGGACGGCAGGCTTCAGAAAGCAACGCGAATTGGAGGTATGAGAAATTTCACAGCTCGTGAGAGTGGTCTAAGCCGCCTTTCGGTGGGAACATGGGGACCTTTTGTGCTGATCAAATCGCCCGAACAAGGAGCAGTCTCGGAACCAGACAGCGTCGCCGTGGAAAAGCAGTGGCTAGGTAGTGCCGCTAAAACTTTGAAAGGCTCAAACATCGACTCATCGCTTTTGCACGTGGGTAAACGGGAGTACACTATCAATTGCAACTGGAAAGTTTTTTGCGATAACTACTTGGATGGAGGATATCACATACCTCACGCTCATGCCAGTCTCGCAGCTTCGCTCAACCTGAAACAATACAACACGACTTTGTCCGAGAAAGTAAGCATTCAAACTTGCATGGTTGCAGCCAGCGGCGGAGACCACAGATACGTCAGTAATGGTGAAACTCAGATCAGCAGCACAAATGACAGGAAGAAGAGACGAGCAGACAATGCCGTCTTCGCTTTCGTGTACCCCAATTTTATGATTAATAGATACGGGCCATGGATGGACACAAACTTGGTCCTTCCAGTATCTGCCACTCAATGTCGCGTTGTCATTAATTGGTTTCTGGAGCCCGACTTTCCCAACGACGAGGCTTTGATCAAGAGTTCGATAGAAACATCAGACGTTGTTCAGCAAGAAGACATCGTCCTGTGCGAATCTGTCCAGGAGGGTCTTCAGTCCCCAGCTTACGATGTGGGGCGCTATGCTCCTAAAGTAGAATATGCAATGCACCACTTTCACGTCCTTCTTCATGAAGACCTGTCCATGTGAAAATATACTTCCAGCACTTATCGAAGGATTATCATAGTACTTCGGTTCTTCTCTTACTTTGTTGCCATAGCAGTATTTAGAGGTCAAGAACAGTAAGAAGACGATGACAGCTTCGGGCGACGTTGTGATCGCCCTCACGATTCAAACTAACCCTAAACCTTGTGTTTATTGAATTATCTGCGAAAGTAGGAAAGCCTTTGTGCTCATGAAAGTATCGCTATTGTTCTCTGTCACTCGCTTACAAAGCGAGAATAGCATGTACCAATGACGAATAGCCTGGGCGCATGTGCATACAAGTACAGTAAATTCTGATTCTACTATATCACAGGTCAAAATTTTTTTAATAGACTGTAGTGTGAACATAAGTTTGGCGTTGCCAACTTGGAATTGACAAGATCTTCCAATTCACGTTTGCTGGCTAGAACTTTTGATTCAGCGGAATTATTGATTTAGGTTCAATTCGGGAGTAGCTAGCTCACACTAGAATGGGTCACAGCTCCTCTGCGCTTGGGATGGGCTGGTACAAGAATCTTAGGGCAGTGCCGTCACATGTCCCAGCTTTAGGAGTAGAGTGCACAACCCACTTCGGTTCCGTACTTCTGTGTCAGATGAGTGGAAAATCCCGGACCGTCAGCACATCTTGGATGGAGAACATTCTCAAACATTTCTTCACCATAAATCAACTGGTAGTGATTTGGGCTGTACACCAATCAGAAACTGGCGGGATGCATGCAAGAAGCTTATTTATGGCAGTTGTCGAAGTTTCCAACCCGCAATAATGTGCTCCTTTGACCGCCCGTAAAAACAATGATTAAGTAAAACCATCGAGGCACACTCGCAAGATCCTCGCAGTGGCCAAACCTAAACAGGGCATCGAGTTCAACACCAGTCCTCAATTCTCAGATAAAAACCCTCAGAATAATCTCAGGTAGTCCTTCCCGTTGCACATCCGATCAACTTGCAAATTTGACCACAGACCTCTAATTTACCGATTGGAGCGAAACCACATCGGACAATCCCAGCCACTGTGGGGAACGTTAAGCATGTGGGGAGAGCTCTACCTTCGTCCAAAAGCACCAAACAAACCCTCAGGTCAATATAATTACTACCTCCTGACAAAGCATTCACGAGAAGGTGCCACTCTTGTCAAACTCCTGTCACTACCAGCACAATGGAACTCCTACACGACTGATTCGGGAACCAAGAGGCTTCACAGACCCTTACCAGTCGATCGATCCCCTACCGAGTTATTGCCCACGTAAGTGTAAAGGCTGGCTCCCCGCTGCACGCAGTCAAATGCAAGTCAAGAAAGTGGCCCCTACTCGTACCAAGTGGACCCAACAGTCCAGTCGTTCGACGCGACAAGTCTAGCTGGGCGAGTCGAAGTGAGGGGAAACGGCGAGTTGGCTTGCCGGCGTCAAGGTGTGAACCGAGCCAGTCAACTGCGATATGTCCCTGCGAGTGCCACCGCCGACTGGCGGTGGCCGGCAAAAAGAACCAAGGATCCGGCAGGGGGCCCGAGGATCCAGGTTTTTGAATCGTCGATAAATCCATTAGCTATACAGTTGGTGAGAGGCATGAAACCTACAAATCTACTGTGATACCGTGACTTCCGTCTTGCTACGCTGTAAGTCTACAGCTACTTGGTATCCTGTCATATTGAACCGGCTGCCGTCCCGATGGCGCGGGACGTGATCGTCCATGTTCCATCACGAGCTCGCGGCCACCTTCGGGAGAAGCAAAGGTAGCCATTTGCGATCCAGTTTTCGCATGGTACAGTTTCTCCATCACAGTCAGCAAGTGTGCTGGGTTACCACGTTCCTGGGACTTCTTGCCAATTGGTACTGACCTGTGTGAACGCATCTCGTTCTTGCATAAGAATGATAATCGTTATGCGTTTCGCTTTGGCTTGCATAACTTGTCGAGAAACTGGAAACACAATAAAAGGCAATAGCCATTAATCAACACGTAATGTATCACTTGCTAAACCAGTTACAATTTTATTACAAAAATTTAATAAAACTGTATATAAAATTATGTCTTGTATAAAAAAATATGACGTAAGAAACTTTTGACTTTTAGATGATTCAATAAAAAAAATAGCATAAATTTATTCCCTTTTTTATTTTTCTCTTGAATATTCTTTTAAAACAAAATCCTCATTTACTGATCGCATAGATATTCAAAAATTCTTCAATTTTACTTTATCTATATCAAATATAGTGATAAAGATACTTTTAATTTTTTACTCAAAATTGATTTCTTGAATTTCAGAAGTTCTCGACAACATATTTTTTAAAAACTTATTATGACAAGATTAAACTTATCATGCCAAAAAGCAGCGCCACTGGTTGAGTTTTGTGAGCAAAAATTAATTATATATTATAAATTTTATACATATACCTGACATTTACCATGTAAAAACATTTCTTATTTTTTTAAAAACTTTATAATTAAATAAAAACATAAAATTTATATATAAAATGAAAATATTAATCTTTCGCTCTAGGAGTGATAAATAAATCTATTCATGTATTTATTTATAAATTTTTCTTAAAAAAATATTAAAAAATATACTAATATAAATGAGCCATTTTTTATTAAAATTGGACGCAATTGCAGAAATTAATAAAAATTTTATTTAATTTGTAGTTTCACTATTTCTGCAAATCCATAAATACAATATGGAGAAAGCGTGTACACATATTGCAATAATATTTCTCCCATCATCTCCTATGCATTGGCACAACTTCACCATCATTCACATGTACCAAAGTGATGGAATAATTTTTTGCATGATCATAAGAATCAATGTTTGTATATGAGGACATTGGCGAACTAAGAGATTAGGCAAGATTAGTTCTCCGGCAAAACCTTGGCACACTATATGACCTTATTCCTCTGGTTTTGTGCTCTACAACTTCTCCACTTGCCTAAACTCCTCCACTTGCCTACTGTCATGGTCCGTTTCTCTCTCTTTCTTTCTCTCTCGTTTCTATACTCTGGGGTTCTTCAAGTTCTACAATAAAATAATCTTCTAATTGTCGACAATCCACATCGCAAAGAAGAAGAGAATGTTACGTAAGTAAAAAAAATGGAGAATTTTCGAAAAATCATTTCTGCACAACGATGTATGTAAAAGCTTTTTGCTATTGATTTCATCTAGCTTCTTTTTTTCTGTTTGTTAATTCCCCCTGTTTCTGCGTCCCTTCGGCATCACTTCCTTTTGATAGGCTTGCGACCCATATATTTTAATACATAGAATTTTTGAGTCCAATTAAACCAAGCCTTAAAGTAGTGAAGTACAGATTACATGCATGCATCTTCAATATGCATCTTCAGGATGCAATACTTCCAAGTTGAGGTGAATAATTATTTATAAAATAAGTAAATGACTCACAATTTCCAAACGTGAAGAAAGTTTGAGAATTTGGAAATGATGAAATGCAAAGCTTTAGAACACTGTAACAACTAACCTGAGAAGTGAGACTCACCTCAATCGAAATAAATCTCAAGATAGAAGAATCTAAACTCGCTTTTTTTAGACCCCTCAACATCATGGGGAAATCCAAAAGCACACTGCTTCCCTGTGGTGGCAACAGCGAACTTTCAGAGGGCAATTTATTGCAAAGATTATTTCCACGGGATTCACTTTCCGCATGAATGTATGTTTGTTGGCATTTTTCGAGAATTTCGTCCCGACCATGACCTGGACACGCGCCCGTTCTCAAGCCTTGAAAGAACACGTGGCACCGGCTTGGGAACTGTGTTGCATGGTTGGTAATCTACTCTGACCGGCAGGGGCTTTTGCGGACGACTGGTCGTCGTAGGTCACAAGAGTCTGGGGCCTTGGCAAGATTTCCCGCCAAAGAGCGCACGAACATTGGCGGGAACGATCGACAGGGTCGCAAAGTCCCGAAGACGCTAGAGCAGTTCGCACCTATTTCGATTGTGAGTCGGGGCCAAGTAAGCACGTCGAATCCTGAAGTCTCGAAATCTGCCCACGATAGTCGATTGGAGAGGTGCTGGCAGATGCAAAAATGACGGAGGCTGTGGATTGGTGACGTCATCGTCTGGGTTCTTGATCGCTCACTTTTTCACTCGGATTACGACCCCGGACGAGGAAATCAGGTCTCGGGTTTTAGGTGATTGATGGGTCTCGACAGTGTGTTCGGGATTTGCATGTTGATCGTTAGCAGTCAACCGGGAATTCATGGACGGAATATGTTCGGGAACAGAGGACAGGATCCTTTCATAGTGACGGTCCCAATCGATCAATTCGCCTCCTAATAAAGGGACCCAAACTATCAGGGTGGAGATTTCGAATGCCACTTAGTGAAAGGAAATCAAGGCTCGGGTGGTGAGAAATGCTCGACAGTATTCGGCTTAGTGATGGTGGAACTTAGGTCCAGTTTAGGAAAACAGATCTCACAATAGAACAGATCGTTCTTGGTTTCTTGTGCCGATCTAGCCCTTCAGCGCAGCTGCCCTTCAGCTTCATTTGGATCATTCATTGACGGTTCTATCAAATGCAGCTGGTGACCTTTGGTGGCCCTTGTTCTACCATGATGATTAGAAGAAGCTTGGAAACCTGCACGTGCATCCGTTTGTGTCGAACTGCCTTATAACTTCCTAACTGATTTTTTGGGGATGTGATTATTGCTCTGTATGTGAGGAGACGCGACGGCTTGACATGTAAGAAACTCGTTTCCGCATAAATAGCTCTCGATGATATTTTGTAGCTTTTATTGAACCGTAGGGTTTTCGTGGCTTGTGTGTGAAGATGTATTTCCCAAGATGGTCTTAGGATCGTTGTGCCGATTCGGGAAATGTAGACTGATTTGTATGAGTGAAGGGTTTCGTCGGACTCAGAGTAATTGTTAAGGCATCTGTTTATGTCGAGTTTTTCTGAATTTCAGCTGGATGACCGATCCGATGGAGGAAATGCAGCGATTTATGTTCTCCTGTTTTCTTGGAGTATCGGGAAGTTGTAGACTTTGACCTGTGTGAAAGTTTCTTTCTTCGTCTTTTGCCTCAAAGCAGTTTCATCCCAGGACAGCTGGAAATAGAGTTGGGGGTCTGCTGCTTCTCCGTTTCTCTGATTCTGAAATCATCTTGGGTGATCGCATGTGCTGCTCCTCCTCCTGCTTGCCTTCTTCTTCATTCTCCTACTCTTCCTGTTCTACTTGTTGTCGCTGTTTCTCGTGGTAGTGTTGTTGTTGTTAACCTTTCCTTTTTTCCAACTGCATCCATCGGTCCATACAAGAAATCTCTGCACACCCAAAGTACACAGCTGATCGTGGGCATGTGTTGCTGCTGCAGGAGGAGGTCTGGAGTTCGAGGAAAAGCTAAGGACTAGCTGTCGAGCCAAAACAAAGGGAACAGAGTGTCACCGGACAATCATGTCCACCAGGGAAAAGAAACACTGAAAGAGTATTATCTTTTTTGTGACCTTTGGAGATCAGTGGATTGATGTAAAGGTGCTATGGCCAGAAGGAAAACAATTCCGCGGCGAAACCAACGTGACAACAGGCGTAATGCAGGGGCAGCCCCATCACCAGCATCAGGTGGCCGAGCACCGCCAGGTAGGCGTAGGGCGAGACAGGGCACGGTCGCATTGCGCGAGATTCGTCATTATCAAAAGACATTCGAACTGTTGTTAAGAGCCCTTCCATTCGCCCGATTGGTAAGGGAGATTGGACAAAGTGTATCGAATAGAGTCACTCGTTGGACAGCTGAAGCCCTTGTAGCTCTTCAAGAAGCTGTAGAAGATTACATTGTCCATCTGTTTGAGGATACAAATCTCTGTGCTATACACGCTAAACGGGTGACAATCATGCCCAAGGATTTGCACCTTGCAAGACGCATTCGTGGTGTTAATCAGTAGTAAGATTAGATTGTTCGGTAGCAAATTAATCGCCAGCTTTTGATTCTGGTACTAGGTAGCGGTCTGGAATTGAGACGAATTGGACATGCCTTAAAGGTATGGGGGCATCAGATTTTCTTGTAAGCCTACTCATTTCCGTTGTGTGCAGTCTTACTCACAGTTAGCAATGCACACATTCTGAAGACGTATGTCACTCACGAAACCTAAAGAATTACATGGACCTCCACAGACGTCCAGTTCTTGCAACTTCCAGCGACACTTTCTATAATTGAAAGACCTTTTACACTGCCTATCTAACAAGATAAACACATACGAACCGAAAATGGTGCTCTAATTCCTTTAGTGTGTCAGCATACTGTCGGATCGACCTTCGAAAGGGTGACTATCGTCTAGTGTGATGTGATCTCAGCTCCGTCTCTTTTTTGTGTGTATATGTCTGAAGTTAGCTGCAACCGTAGTTTGAATGGAACTCGCAGTCGATAATTTCCTCACAAGGACCTATGGAAGTTGAGTTTTTCCTTCATCAGGGCTTGGAGTTGCTTCGTGTGATCTGTGTGGAGCAAATTTTGAGCGGTCTTCAATGGCTAGACTTATTCCAAACGGTCTGACCAGGCACATCTTCACGCAAGAACCTCCTCGAATCCTGTTTGTTGGTCCACTATCACATATGGGTCTCACATAGAAACAAATTGGCAGTGAAAAGTAGGTTAGTATACCATAAACCCTAAACCCTGAACTTAAATTCTTGACTTCCTATTCACCAACAGTTGCATAGATGGAAATCACATCGAATCATCGCTACTGTATATCTCATTACAACGGAACGGACTTGACGATCTAGGGCCACGCGTCTTCTACAAGATGGTTAGTTTTTCTCTCATTCTGCTCAAGAAATAGCATCTGTCCGTGGATTGACTAACCAAGGCCGGAAGCCGTACAGAGAGTTCGGCTGAATCGACTTGACGCATCTTCTTTGTTTTGATATGAAAGTGTACTTTGAGGACACATTTGATTAGAACATGCTGGCACTGGCTGTCTGTAATAATGTTGGCTGAGTTTACCTTTCGTGCTTGGCTTGACTCTTTCTCTCCACGCAGTTGTTTCAATCCTCGTTAGATTGCAACGCTTTGTCCTGAATGCAGCCAATGTCAAAATGTTCCTTTCCAACTTCTTGTAGAGTTCGATCGTAGCAGTTGAAGAGTCGAACTTGCTGTTGCTCACATGCCTCACAACAGTGTAGTGGAGTTGGAGCCGCCTTTGTGCATTATTCGCATCTATAGTGGAAGTACCTTGTTGAGAAATTTCAGTGATTCTGGAGACCACTGTCAAGATACATATTAGAGTACGTGCCATCGTCTGTCAGGAATTCCATCGACTTCCTTCTGTTGACACATTTTTCACACACATTCACAAAAAATGTGTGTACATCGTCATAGTATGAAATATCTTCATATTTCCCATGTAGAGTAGCAGCAAAAGTACAACCCTACAGGGCCTAATGTCACTCATGTTTTCACAGGGATTTAAGAACTTGTTAAGGTAGGAATTTGAAACCAATTTTGTTCCGAAGACTCTCTTTCTGCACTATCAACCATTGCGAGCGCTGGAATCTCAGCTACTAAGGTAGATAATGTTTCATAATAACGCTCACTTGCTTCAGATTGATATCTCAACATCTGGTTTCAGCGTTGGGCGATATGTGCTATTCGCATTTAGATCACAAAAGGAGACCGTTTGCAAAGGTCAAGTGTTTACATGGTCATTTGGATCGACATCCTGTTCTGAAGAATGCTGTTTAATTTGCTGTGCGAGTGATCATTCCCTTAATTAGAAGCCACAGTCTCTGAACACAGTTGAAGGCATTGCTGTCTAGAGCTTTTTCTTCCTGGATTGATCATTGTCGTAGGGGTATACGACCAGGTGCTTTGAGTAAGAATGATTGAACCCAAGTGTCTTCTCCGCTCCAGCCTAAAGGAGGGGAGACCAGTGAAGTAGTTTCTTAGAAGTCAGCATATTCATTGGAGCTCCAGTTTATAGAGCGTTTGAAGCGTTTGATGGAGATGACGGAGATGAAATTTGTGTAAGTAAGCTCATCCGAGGAAGGATGCTCACAACTTGCAAACCTAGTGGTAGAAACTGCACTTATGATCATCTAACAAATGCTAAGAGAACTTCTTAGAATTCATTGTATGCTTTCATACGTTAGATCGGTGTTTGTGAAGAGAAGAGATCTAGTTAACGTGAACCCTTCCATCAGACCTGTTTTCTTTTACAGCTTGCGCAGCGGGGAAACAAAGATGGGAAGACCACATCAAGGGATACAATCATAAATGTAAACCGGAAATAAACGCTAGTCTCATCATTTAAAACAATGGAAAATGTACAGAATATATCAACATCAAAGGGGTTACAATTTTCGAATATTAGCATTCATCTGAAGAAAAACACCCAAAGTTTTTGCTATTTTATGTATAGCACCTGCCAGTAATCTCGTTAGAGCAAGTTGGTATTACAATAAATGGTAGAAATAACATTTGGCAACAACATTTCTAGAAACATGAACTGTATCTAAGTGTAAACCTCTCTACAACATAACATAGGTTTATCTTAGGTGTTAAGGACACATTTACTCCTCAAATACATTTCACAAATCTGCAAACAAACCAATACCCAAAGACAAATCAAATCATTATATGTTAGCTAAGAAGTACATTGAATTTTAACAACAATGACAATTGCCAAGAAATTCTTTGAATTCTATGAGTAGCTACAATTGCCAAAGTATGTGACTCATCATATCTTTACCCTATCACATGCCTTCAATTGACTTGTTCCAAAGTCTTCTCTTTATATGATTCAATCTGAAGTGAAGTCCATATGGTTTTCGGTTTTCTCTTCTCTCATTTCTAATTTACTTCTCTTCTCTCTATCTCCTATATTTAAACTTAAGTATCAATGAATAACAGAAAATGAGGAATCCTCAGAGAAATGTGTATATTTTCATACACATAATATAATACATATATATCTTTACTTTTTTTTGTGAATTATGAAGTGTTACTATTTGTATGTGTTGTTGAAAAAAAAATTTTGATTCGACTTTCTTCATTTTTACAAAGATAATGTGAAATTTGAAGTATTAATGATCTCATAATCATGAAGTTTTATTTGTGGAATAATTGGACTATATTTTTTTCTCTTATGGATATTCTTTTCAACAAGAGTTTTTTTTTGGTTTGTAAACTAGTTGATTTACTAATCATTCATGCAACTATTGAATTTCTTTTAAGTGTATACACTATCTCATACATGTGAGATGATATGAAATAGAATTGACATATCTTTTAAAATAAACAATGTGAAACAAATCAGGTTCATAAACATATTCAATTATGCTCAATGTAGACAATTTAATTTAAGCAACCGGACTATACTTTTGGAAAAATAGAGCTTTCTAGCAATCTTAGATAAATCACAATGAATTTCAAAATCCTATACTTTATGATTGTGTCAAAATCTTGTAGGTAAAAAAATAAATCACAATCTCATCAAACCTTGCATATGAATCTTGTACATCTTTTTTACAAGAGTTTTTTCCTCTTGATACATAGTTGATGAAATCACAACTTTTTTAAAATTGTTTGAATCAAATCATTTCTATATGAAAGTAAAACATGATGTTATGACATTATCACTATTAGTTTTAAGTTACAAAAGGAAATTTAAATCATACACAGAGTTTAAAATTTCAAAATTGTCATCTCGTATTAGTGACATCAAATTCAAAAATCGATAGATTGTAAACTAGTAAATCTGCTCAATAATAAACAATACGTCACTATATGACGATAGTGACATGAAACTATAAATAATAACAGTTTCAAGTGTAATTTTGGAGGTAGAATTCCTATCTTACAATACACAGCCATGAGAAAATGTAATGTGTCATACGTTTATTTTAAAGTCCATATCAACATTTCACTATGTCTAGACTTTAGTAAAATACTTCGCTATAGATAATATCATCGATTGTTTCACTCAAATCTTTGTGCATGTATATGTATTCAAACGCAAGAATAGCGCCAATGTTAATCTTCATAACAATTAATGAGAGCAAATGAAGTAGATTTTGGAAACAAACAACAAATTTATAGAATGTATTAGTAATGATGGAACTGAGCATTTTACTTTCCTGAATGACAACTCTAAATAGTGACATCCAACCTTAGCACCAATGTATGTAATTATTGGGAGGTTAAATTCTATATGCCACTTGTTGAGTAACTCATTTTTTTCACACACAATGTTTTCTTAAACCTCATATCAATGCTCCAATATATATTATAGTTGATTTCATCTTTCTAATTTGATATTAAAACAAATTATTTGAGATATATCATATTGCAATTGAAATTTCATCAAATTAATGATTTTTTTCTTATATATTTAGGGTTTAGGGTTTAGATTTTGATAAAATTTTTTTTTTTTGGGTTTAAATTCATGACAAAAAGTTCCATATTAGCTTGCTTTTCATTTAACATTGATAAATAAAAAAACTCAAAAGTCAATCATGGATGAACTCAAATCTTGTATGTTGATATAAGTCTTTTAGTGACTTATATTGCTCCAAATTTGAAAAAATCTCTCATTGATAAAAATGAATCATAATATTCTTAGTAATATGTTCTGAACTTAATATGCTAAAATCCATTTGTGTTTAAAAACAAGATGATATAAACATCTTTAGTAATTTAGAACTAAAATAAAGTTTACTTAAAATGAAGTTATAGTTACTTTAGAGTGCAATAGTCATATGTGCCACATTAGCGATCCATGTCCTTTGTAGTTAGAGAGTTGTATGTTAGTTGACAGCACCACGTCAACGATGCGTGTGCTTGTTAAATAAGGATTGAGTGTATTAGTTGAGGGTGTCACATTAGCAATCCGTGTGTTTGGTAAAGTTGACCACGGTTCGGCTCAGAAAAAAAGGTGGACCGGTTAACGAATTCAAAATTTTCACTTGAATTTTGCATGGTGAGTGAACTTTTTTAGTTTTTCGTCATCCAAGATTCAAATTAGCACCAAAGACAAAATGTGGATTGTTCCGAAACTGTAGAACAAAACCTCAGAGTCTTCTTCTTTGGAATGGAGTTTGTTACCTACGGGACTGACCTGCTGGGAGCCAAAATGGTTGAGAAAGGAGTAACAATGGGAGGTTCAAAAAAAAAGATTTGGCCGACTTTGCTTGGTTTTTTGAAAAGTCTTCTGTCTACTAGACAATATCTCATC